ATTCCTGTGCACGTGGCGTTGGGTTGTCCGGACTCGGCGTCATGGGCACTGTAGGGTTTCGCCCGTAGTTCAGGTAGAATGGGGACTGCTGCGTCGTTGCTGACGTGGCGTTGTTGTACGCGAACTCAATCAGCGGCAACTGCTGCTCCCAAGTTGTCGGGTCGTCGCACGTGGCACGAATCAACTGCTCCATCGTCTGATTCGTCCGCTCCGCTTGACCGTCGGTCTCGGGGTGGTACGACGAGCTGAACTGTAGCCTGGTCCCGAACTGCTCCCAGAGGTTCTTCCAGAAATTGCTGGTGAACTTCGTGTCGCGGTCGCTGATTATCGCGGCTGGTATCCCATGTAGTCGAACGACGGTTGCGATGAACAGGCGAGCGGTTTCTTCGGCTGAGATCGATTTCTTGCACGCAGCGAAGTGAGCCATTTTCGTCAACCTGTCAACGACGACCATAACCGCGTCGTTACCCCCAGGGTTCATAGGTAACCATGTAACGAAATCCATGGTAACCTGCTGCCAGGCGCGCTCAGGCGGTGGAATCGGCTGCAACTGACCCGCCTTTCTTTTTTCGCGAGCTCTTCATCACCTGACACGTAGGACACGAGCCCACGTGGTGCTGTACGTCGGTCAACAGCTCCGGCCAGTAGTAGTACCGCTGCAGTTGCTGTCGGGTTTTTTCTACCCCGAAATGGCCCGAGGTAATCCCATCGTGTGCCTCCTGCAGTAACAGTTCCCTCAGTAGTGAGTACGCGGGTCCCCAGATGCGGTTGGTGCCTGTTTTTACGTAATAAACTCCTTTTGCTTCAGCCAGTTGCTGTGAATTTCCGGTCGTGAAAAATGGGTCGGTGCTGTATCCGTGGGTGAATAGGCCAGTTAGCAGTGGGTTGGTTTGGGCGAGTAGGATGGCGTGGAGTTGGGCGGTGGGGCGTGTGAGTGCGTCGGCGATGTTGGATGCACCTTTTTTGTACGTGACGGTGTAGTGGAAGTTGGACTCCAGATAGTCCAACCAACGAATCTGTCGCGGGTTGAGGTTCGGTTGGGCGCGAAGGTACTGTAGTGATTGGTGGTCTGTCCGTACTGTCACGTCTACTCCCGTGAGGTAACATCGCCACACTTTGAACGCGCGCACGATCGCCAGCATCTCGCGGTCGTGTATCGGGTAGTTGCGTTTGGGCGGGTGAAGCTTGCGGGACTCGTACGCGATTGGCTGGAGGCCGTTCCCAAAGTCCTGCAACAGTACTGCTCCCACAGCGATGTCGCTAGCGTCGGTGACGAGCTCGAACGGACGGTGCGGATCTGCGATGTGAAGCACAGGTGGCGAGCACAAAATTTCTTTGAGGGCCGAGAAGGCAGCGTGCTCTTTCTCCCCCCACGTGTACTCAACCCCCTTCCTCAGCAGGTCGGTCAACGGGGCAGTCAACTTCGCCATGTCGGGGACGAACCGGCGCACGTAGTTGACGAACCCCAGAAAACTCAGCAACTCGGTCAAGTTTGTCGGCGCGTGCCATGCTTGAATCGTCGCGATCTTCTTCGGGTCTATTTCCACTCCTTCAGCTGAAATAATGTGTCCCAAAAACTCCAGGCGGTATCTCAGGTAAGCATATGTCCAGTGGCAGTTTCAGTTTCCGTGCTGTGGCAGTGTTGATGAGGCTGTGGCTGGCTCCCCCGTCTACGAAGATTTTAACTAAGTCGGTCCCGAGTTTCCCACTAAGCAGTATGGGGCTGTCTACCGTAGTACCCTCCTTATTCGGCCGGGTGTGGTCGATTGCGTGAACCGGCACAATCACTCGGTGAGGGTCGGTTGGGTCGGGCGAGCGGCGTGACCTGTCAGTAGAGGGCCCGTCTGCTACTGACTCCCAGCGTTTCCCTGCTGCTTGGTCTGTTTCTGCTTCTCAGCTTCCCCCTTTCCCTTAGCGTTTTCCGGGCATTCGCTCTTACGGTGTCCCGGCCGATTACACGCGAAGCAGCGCCCTTTGAACGGTGCGGCAGCGGCATTCGCGGCGACGGCACGTATCGTAGCGCCCTCGTTCGTCCCACGAGACTGATGTCCCCAGTTGTTGCTTCCGTAGGACCCCGGTCTCGGTCGGCGGAAGAAGTCGAGCTTCTCCGCCATGGCGAGAATCTCCTGGAAATCGGTAACGCCGCGAAGCTGGATTTCCGGAGCGATGTCGTGCTTCAGGCCGTCGATGTAGCGGTCGATGCGCTCGCTCTCGTGCATATAACCCACTTGCTCGCATAGCGCCAGAAGCCCGCTCGTGTAGTCCTGGACGGAACCGAGTTGGCGCCAAGTGCGGAGCTTCTGTCGCGCCGCGATCGAAGCCGCGATTGGCTCAAACCGAGCGCGCAGACCTGCGTACCACGCGTCCCACGTGCGATATTGGGGCACCTCAACGAAATACGACGGCGCCCAGGGTCCGGTTTGTCCTTCCCGTGTCGGTAGAGTCGCGTAGTCCACCAGCTTCGTGACAATGACACGCCACCAGTCCATGGCGGGTCCTCGCAGCAACGACACGGCGTAGCGGACTTTCGCCGTATCCTCCGAGACGTAGTTGGCGTCGAAGAAAACGTTCAACGTGAACAACCACGCCTGAACGGTAGGACCACCCCGTTGACTCGGGTCAAAGCATGGCGGACGTTGCGGCTTCAGTGGCATTGGCGACGGTAGTGCTGAATCGCTGGCCGGCACAGAAATCGTGACGCGAGGTTGACTTCTGGCCGCATTCGTCGCTTCGGGGTGTGTCGTGCCGTGGTCGTCGTCTCCGTCGTGGCGGACAACGCCATCACTAGCCGCGCTCGCGGGTTGCCCCACGCTCCCATGTTGCGATGTCTGTGGTGCGGGCTGTATCGGAGTGCCATGTGCTTGAGATTGTGCTCGTGCGACGTCATTTTGCAGGGACGTGCGTTCTGCCGTCAGCGCCGCGATTTCTTCAGAGCTTTCGCGAAGTTGCTGCATCAGTTCGTTCAGACGGTCCTGCGTGAGGGTGGTGACGTCGATATGATCGGCCATTCCGAAGGGCGTCGGCTCGTCTTAGCTCTAGGCGCAGTCGTGGCTGCACGCGCTTACGAGAGAACGCGAGGACAGCGGCTCCTAGGGGCTAAGGTGCGTGAGTCCCTTCGAGTGAAAAAATCAAAAGTTGATTTTCTGGGGTGCGGAGATGCGCGGTCCGAAAGAAAGAGGCTCTGAATACCAAGTGTTACGGGTGCAATGAATCGAGGTAGCGAGGATTGCACTAAGGTGTCAAAACAAGTACAAAATGTGAGCGAAGGCATGAGCGAACATTTATACGCGAAACATGTAAACGGTAACGCGGCGCGTGCGAGCTAGCTAGTGCTACGCTGGCGCGAGGTTCGGACTAGTCCCGAAACGTAGGCCGACTCGGCTGCTCCAGCAGTGCGAGGTTTGGTGAAAACAGTGCGCGCGATGTTGGCGAAGCCCCGTTAGCAGTAACGGGCGAACAACGGCTGTTGCTGTACGCGATGTTGCGGGCTGCGCTAAGGAATGTCGAGAAAATTCCTTACAAAAGGCTACACTCGGTTGGCTAGTTCATAAAAACAGTACTGTAGTCACTGTGTGGTACAAGAGCTAACTTCTTTGACGGAGAGGCATATATTGAGTCAATTGTGCAAGATCCAAGAAGGGTCATAGCTAGCGTCAACCCTAGTTGGAACAGTTAAAATGTATGGCCGACCTACGCCATCCACCCTACATCGTGCACGACCACATACCCCAAGCCGCGATTCCATCCCCACCGTTTCTGGATGGTATTCGTGGCTTTGAGTCTTTACTGAATTCATAATCAATTGTAACCCGCCACAAACGCACCGCGAAAGAGGGATGTAGGGTTGCAAGCTTTCGGAGCCCCTTCCACCAATCACGCGCATCCACGCCACGAGGGCTTTGTGGTTGGCTGTTTCGTAACGAGACAAGAAATGACATCCGCAAGTGTGAACGCTTTCCCCTACCTCACGAACTCAACCAGAAACCGCAAAGCCTTTCCATTTCGCGAAAGTGGTTACTCGTCGTTGTCATGTCCTCAACACAAATCCTCGGTCAATTCACCTGTCGTGAACCCAGTAGCGGCGCTAGCGACAGCTAGCGAAACTCGGTGAGCGCGCGCGGTGCGTCGTTTTCTTGGGGTGTCCGGTCTGGTCCGGTCCGTCTCCCACCATCCATCCGTTGTACCTGCCCCTCCCCCTCCACCGCACCACCTCATCTCCCCTCCCCCTACCTCGTCAATCCCGAGGCCAATAAACTGCGCCTGTGTTCTACCTTTTTCGTCATCACTCCCTTCCTGCTACCTGTCATTCCATCCCGTCGCTTTCACAGCAATCGCTTTTTTATCTCAGCAAGCACCCGTTCCTGTCATTTTCACTGTCACGCTTCCGTACTTGCCATCCTCGCCACGACCGCCAGTCCGCCTCCCTCCGTCCTCACCGCGGGTTTTTCCATATTGCGACTGATTCTGCTAGTTCTTTCTAGCGCACAAGTCAATAGCTCAGCTGCGACACGCGCTGATACAGACAGCTCACCGCCGCATTCGGAGATCGACGCCGCATTCGAAGTCGACGCCGTTTCCCCTTACAATCGGCAAAGGACACTACGCGGACTAAAAGGCAGCCGAGGACCCGTAAGTCAAGTGCCTAGCGTGCGACAGCTAGCGTGCGACAGCCATTCACGATGTTTCAAACCATCAGCACACGCGATTTCGCCAGCAAACGGCGATCGGTTAAGATAACTGCTGCCGGCGGCACTGACGGCCACGGCGAAAGTCGCCGTTCAGCCCGGCGAGCGTCCACCATTCGCGGCGGCTCTTCAGGAGAAGGACGGCGAGGAGGTAAAGGTGGAAAAGCATCCGCGACGGACGCGGCGGCGGCTGCGGGAAGTTCGAGCCGAAGCCGGCGCAAATGGACGCAGTCGGGCGGCAGCCGCGCGGCGCCATCGACGGCGGAAGATGCGGTGCAGGCGGAACTCGCGGCGACGCCGGGGCTGCTGGAACCAATGCGCGTCGAGCTGATACCCGAGGTGAGGGTCGCGCGACACGAGGCTCTTGAGGATTGTTTTCAGGAGCGACGTTTCCCTCTACGCGAAGCTCCCCTCCCTCCTTGCTTTTTAAAATAACTTTTGAGAATTCTCAAAAGTGATTTCAACAAGAGGCTCTTGAGAATTGTTTCCAGGAGCGATGGTTCCTTCTACGCGAAGCTCCCCTCCCTCCTTGCTTTTCCTCAATCTCCTTCCCACGACTGCTGGAGCCCATGCGCGTGGAGCTGATACCCGAGGTGAGGGTCGCTTGACACGAGGATTTCGAGAGAACTCTCAAGGGCACGATGTTTCAATACCACCCTGCATGGCGGACAAGTGCTCCTCCGTGCCACCGCACCTTCGCTCTCTCGCCCCTCAACTTCCCCCTCTCCCCTCCCCGTTTCCCCCTCTCCCCTTCCCCATCCCTCCCCCCCTTTCTTCCGCGCCCCCTCCCCCTGCCTCCCCCCCAACCAGGAGGGGAAGGTGAACTGCTACCGCATTGCGGCGGGCATGAAATCCCGGCACCCCCCCGGCGTGATCTACGGCCTCCTGCGCGACTTCAAGCGCGGCCCCGCCATCTTCCGCCACATGGACAAGTGCTCCTCCGTGCCGCAGCCCGACGGAAGCCTGCTCGTCGTGCAGAACGTCAAGTGGCGGTTCCAGTTGTTCTCGGGGAAATTCGACCTGGCGCTCTACTGCCACTGCGACGATGCAACACGCACTATCACGTACCGACTGTAAGTCTGTTTTGAGTCTAGACTCAAAGATTCGTGCAGAACGTCAAGTGGAGGTTCCAGCTGTTCTCGGGGAAATTCGACCTGGCGCTCTACTGCCACTGCGACGACGCGGCGCGCACCATCACGTACCGACTGTGAGTTCCGCGTGTGCTTAAAATCGGGCCCGTACTTTCGTCTGGAAGTTCCAGATGATTTGTCAGGGGTCAGCTTGCGTTAGCCTCATTTGCTTCAATTGGTTTTTTTTTTCTAGAAACATATCTCCGATCATAACCTCACTCCGCTTTCCGGTTCCATGTCTCCTCTCCTCTTCCTTTTCCCTCTCTCTCTCAGGGCATCTCCTGGATTCATGAAAGATTTTGTCGGCACATCAACCATTCGCAGCCTTTCCTCCCTCCCTCACACCCCACCCTCCTCCTCCTCCCTGCCTCTCACCGTTCCTGGCACACGCGCTATCAGCCACCCCCAGCCTCTGCTACAACCAGAGCTACAGCCTCAGGCACCTCAGCCTAAGCCCTTGCACCCAGCGCTACAGGTAAAGCCGCTACAGCCGCGCCTCCCGCTACAGCAGCGGCTGCTACAGCTGCAGCAGGCGATTCCCCTCGGCCGCTTCCCCACTCAGCTGCTGGCGTTTGGGCGAGTGGCTTTGGGGGAGCCTCGGATCGAAGGCGAGGGTCTAGGAGGGGGGATTCTGGGTGGATGGCCAAGGATGGGTGATGGAGCTGCTCCTGGTGTGCCCCTGGCAGCAGCAGCAGGAGCAGTAGGAGCGCCAGCAGCAGAAGGAGTAGTAGGAGGAGGAGCAGTAGGGGGCATGGTAGGAGGAGCTAAGATTGGCGGAGGCGTGCAGTGGAACGGTGGCATGCCGAAATGTGAACCGTCGGATTGCGGGTCGGTGATTGAGATCGTCCAGAGGGTCGAACCAACTGCATTGCCGCTTGGCCCTTTGAGTAAGTGTCGGACCTGAGTCCAAGTGTGCATGCATGCCCTGCTCTCATCTCTACCCCCATTGACCACAGAACTCTGTGTCCGCATGTCTGCATTTTCCCATCTTTTCTCGTCGCCCTCGTTCCTCATCCCTACTTCCCACTGTGTTGCTGCCCCTTCTCCTGCACCTCAACAGCCCAGTACATACTGGGGTACATCATAACAAGCCAAATGCGAGGGCTATTCCACGACCTGTGTGTGGAGGCGACAAACATTGAAGCGAGGAATATTGCGGAACAGGCAAGGTTAAAGGCTGCTGCTGCTGCCACCGCGGGTTCTGCTGGTCAGGAAATTTGTTTGCACAAGGGGAAAAGTGTTTCCAAGGTGTTGGGTTTGTGGAATAGCATTGCAGTAGCTCCAGTGTAAGCTCGCGGACTGAGGGCAAAAGGCTTGCTATGATTTTTTTTCCGTTTGGTTTTTCTAACATGTCTTGTAAGCAAACATTGTGAAGCGCACATTTGTTATTTTCAAATCAGCAGGAGTGGCGCTGGTTGGAGTTTTTTTTAATAAAAGGCGCTTCACTATACCGTATCAGGGATACAGCAAAGGGGGCCACAGCCTTATATGCAGAGAGGGCGCTGGTTGGAGTGGACAGGTAGTTGACATATGTCCAATATGTACATGCATCTTCAAGAATCTGATTTCTCTGTATCGAGTCACGCACGCCTCGGTGTTTCCAAGCTTGATCTCTCAATTTCGTTTGACTGGTGCACAGAGCGGTGAATGGATCAAGCAACTGGATTGTGCACAGCAATGCACTCAACCGTTATTCACCGAGTAGAAAGCAGAAAGCGCAACCATGAAACTACAACCAATGAGCAGACACACACCAGCATGACACGGGTATTAGACCTAGATTTCTTGCACATTGACTCAGCTCGCCTAGACGGACTTACCTGTAGCGATCGTCTTTTTTTTTTTGCGTCGCGTTCGTTTCGGTCGGCGCAGTCCAAAGATACGGAGGGACCTTTGTCCTCGTCATAAGCTATGCTCACGTACTAGGGACAACCCAGGTCAATCCAGTCGATCACTAATAATAGCTCAGGATCCACTCATAGAAGTATAACACTGTCACGCGTGGTAAGGTCACGTGGGGGTTTTTTTTGCACGTTTGAGTCGACTCAAAAGTCTCCTGCGTGGTAAGGCCGGGTGCCGTGGGATCAGAGCACCCGTTTCACGTCATCTGCGAGACTGGTTTACGGCTTTTCGTAGTTAGTATCGAGGAGGTCGAGGAGACTACTGAGCTGGACTATTACATATCGTTCCTACCATTAGCTGTCCTATCACTCGAAGTTGAGTCAGCTTATAAGGGATACTACAGCGGTGTCAGCATGAGCTCTGGAGCGCATACCCAGCATCTAACCAATCCAGGAATGCCACCTGGGCCTCCGCCTGGTCCCCCACCTGGCATGCTTCCAGCATCCGGGCCATATTCAGGCCACCCATACGGAGCCGCCAACGCACATAATGCATCGTCCTATTCTGCTCCTAATTCTGCTTACGGTCTTAATCAGTCGCTTCCCCTTCCGCCTCCGCCTCCTCCGCCCACCAGCGGAGACCTTCCGCTTCCCCCTCCTCCGCCGTTCCCCCCTCCCCCCTCCGGCTCCCACCATCCGACACCTCCTCCCCCACCCCCGCCCACGTCCGATCCCCCGTTGCCCCCTCCCCCGCCCTTCCCGCCGGCGCATTCCGCGCTTCCGCCTCCCCCGCCTCCCCCATCCGCTCCTGGCGCGGGGACTCTCGCCCTTCCGCCACCCCCTTCCGCCCCGCAGCCTCCGTCCGCGGAGAAGGGGCGGCATGGGGGTGGGGATGGGCGAAGAGACAAGCGCGGAGCTGGCGGAGATGGGGGAGACGGCGGGCGGAGAGATAGGCACCAGCATAGTCACCATTCGCAACAGCCACAGAAGCCGTCACAACCAGGATCACACCCGCGCAGTCAGCAGCACCAGCAGCAACAGCACCAACACCAGCAGCAGCATCACCAGCAGCAGCAGCAGGGGGAGAAGCAGAGGCACTCGGCGCACGCGCAGGCTGGGGGGAAGAGCAGCCACGTGGGCGGGGGGGGTGGGGGAAGCGGGGCGCTGGTTCCCGCGCGCGGAAGGGACGCGCCTGGGGGAGCAGCTGGGGGGGGAAGCGGCGCAGCAGGAGGAGCAACAGGCGCAGCAGGGGGGGCTAAGGACGAGAACCGACTGAAACGGCCGTCGACGTTCCAGTGTAGAGTGAGGTGCGAGGGAGTGGGGTGCGGCGGGATGCGGTGGAGGGGGTTTGTTCAGGGGGGTTTTAGTGGGGGGAAAGGGGTTTTCATAAGTGAAGGAGTGTGGGGAAGGGAAGGGGAGGATGGGAGGAGAAGAAGGGGGGTGATTCGAGGGGCTACGAAGGAGGCATTTTTCCTTGACTCACAACACCCCCACTCTTTCCCACAACCCCACTCTCCCGCATAATTTACCCACTCCCTCTCGCCCCCCTCCCCAGGTTCACCAACAGCCTGCCAGAGCCAGCATCGCAGCCGAAGCTGCTGCCTCGCGTGTGTGCTTGAGTCATTCCTGAAGCATTGTACCATTCCCTCCCCCCCTGCTACGTGCCCCCTCCCTATCTCGCCCCCATCAGGTTCACTAGTACCCTGCCAGAGCCAGCATCACAGCCGAAGCTGCTGCCTCTGTGGGGGTACCCACACCGCTACTCCGCCTACCACACTCTTTTTTCCCCACTACCTTCCCCCCTCAACCCCCCCCTCCTCCTCCCTTTCAGGTTCACCAACAGCCTGCCAGAGCCAGCGTCGCAGCCAAAGCTGCTGCCTTTGGGGGGGGACCCCCACCGGTACTCCGCCTACCACGTGTCGACTCTTGAGGCGGACCATCGGCACCGCCTGCACGTGGAGCCGGACTTAGGGATCCCCCTTGACCTGCTGGACTTATCCGCTTACTGGTAAGCAGTAGGCACAGTCACATGTGGATGTATGATCACATGTACGGCACCCCCACCACTACTCCGGTGACAATCACAATCACAAGCATCTGAGCGCACCTAACGGTACTCCGCCTATCACGTGTGCACCTCACCTCTGGAGGCGGACCATCGGCACCGCCTGCACGTGGAGCCGGACTTAGGGATCCCTCTTGACCTGCTCGACCTATCCGCTTACTGGTTAGTCATTCTCATTCCATTCACATGTGTACACTCACCACCGCTACTCCGCATTATCACATGTCAACTCCCTCTGGAGGCGGACCATCGGCACCGACTGCACGTGGAGCCGGATCTGGAGATCCCCCTTGACCTGCTCGACCTGTCCGCGTGCTGGTTAGTCATTCCATTCACATGTGTGCACTCACCACCGGTACTCCGCATATCACGTGTGCACCTCACCTCTGGAGGCGGACCATCGGCACCGCCTGCACGTGAAGCCGGACCTGGGGATCCCATTGGACCTGCTCGACCTCTCTGCTTACTGGTAAGCAGTAGGCAGCAGAGTCACATGTGGGTGTATGATCACATGTACGGCACCCCCACCGGTACTCCGCCTACCACATGTCAACTCCCTCTTGAGGCGGACCATCGGCACCGCCTGCACGTGGAGCCGGACTTAGGGATCCCCCTTGACCTGCTCGACCTATCCGCCTACTGGTTAGTCATTCTCATTCTCATCGTTGTAGTCTCTGTCAATCACATGTGGTGGTATCTTCACGATTCAGACGTATGGAGACCCCTACCGATACTCCGCCTACCACGTGTCGACTCTGGAGGAGGCGGATTATCAACACCGGCTCGGCTGCCTTCCTCTCTGTGACTGTGAGCCATTTCTGAGAATTCTCATAAGAAATCGCTCTTGCAGCGGATCAGCGACACACCGGCTGCCTTCCTCTGTGATCCAACCCAACCCACTGCCTGCCTTCCCTTCCCTGCCCCTTCCCCCATTCCTTCCCCCAGCGCCCCGCCTCCCGCCCAGCGCCCACCGTTGCACCCTGCAGACGCGGAACTCCTGAGGGACGACGATGCGAGTGTCAAGCACAGGGAGGGCGCGGGGGCAGCAGCAGGGGGGGCAGCAGAGGCAGCAGGGGGAGTGAAGGGTTCGTTTTTGAAGTGCACCTCTCACCCAAGCCAATGCCTTTTCCTCTCTGCTCCCTTCCCCCCCTCTCCCCTCCCCCAGCGCTCCCCCTCCCGCCCAGCGCCCACCGTTGCACCCTGCAGACGCGAAACTCCTGAGGGACGACGATGCGAGTGTCAATCACAGGGAGGGCGCGGGGGCAGCAGCAGGGGGGGCAGCAGAGGCAGCAGGGGGAGTGAAGGGTTCGTTTTTGAAGTGCACCTCTCACCCAAGCCAATGCCTTTTCCTCTCTGCTCCCTTCCCCCCCTCTCCCCTCCCCCAGCGCTCCCCCTCCCGCCCAGCGCCCACAGCTGCACCCAGCAGACGCGGAACTCCTGAGAGACGACGATGCGAGTGTCAAGCACAGGGAGGGCGCGGGGGCAGCAGCAGGGGGGGCGGGCGGAACGGGCGCGCTGAGGGTAAAGGAGAGGCCTACAGATGCTGGGCTGAGCTGGCTGGTGCACACTCAGTACATCTCCGCTGCTGGCTCTGGCAGTGCTCCCAAGAAGGTGGGTTGGGGGGCTCTTGTCTATCTGTGTGTCTGTCTGGTGGGGTAAAAGAAGATGTGTGAGTCAAGGGGCACCCGCTCACTTGGGCTGAGGGAGCCTGAGCTGGCTCGTGCACACTCAGTACATCTCCGCTGCTGGCTCTGGCAGTGCTCCCAAGAAGGTGGGTTGGTTGGTTGCCAACTTGCCATGTCACCTTGTTCGGGCGAGGTTGCCATGTCACCATGTCACCTTGTTCGGGTGGATAATCCCGGGAGAGAGGCCCCATGCAGCTGCTGCTGGCATGGGGCTGAGCTGAGCCAGCCCCGATTCAGCACAAAGAACGCAACGCGGGCCCGGTTTATCTTAGACCCCTAAGCTTTTGACTCGACTCTTGAGCTTGACTTGACTCTATGCACCACTCCTTCTGCTGCCCCTGATTGCCCACTCGTCTTGCTGTTTTGTCCCCACTCTCCTCTCCCTCCCTCCCGTGTGTGCTTGTACAGAGGGTGCTTAATGAGAAGGAGGCGACTTCTGAGGCGACTTGACTTTTGAGTCGACTCAAAAGTCAACTCTCCCTCCCGTGTGTGTGTGCCTATACAGAGGGTGCTTAATGAGAAGGAGGCGAAGCTGCTGGCGCTGCAGCTGGAGCTGGCAGATGAGCAGGTGTACAGTACAAGGTGCGTGTAGTTGTTTTAAAAACAAATTAAGTTGATGGAAGTAAGGCCTCCGCAGCCCACAGGTCTTTTGGTGACAAGCCCTGCTGGCCCTGCAGCTGGAGCTGGCAGATGAGCAGGTGTACAGTACAAGGTGCGTGTACATGTATTTGTATGTATCCATGTATTCATATCCAAATTAATGAGAAGTATATATTTATGATATACTAAGTTCACATAGGCCACTATCGAGTCCAAGTGTCCATGCACATTATTTCCCATTCTCCCTCCCTCATCTGCCCTTAAAAAAATATATATCAACTAATTTAAATGGACATAAAGCACTCCCTGCCTGCCTACAACTACAGCAACCACACCTTTCCCCCTGCCCTCCTTTCCCGTCTCTCCCAGGGAGGGGCAGATCCGGTACATCGAGGAATCTTTTCAGGCTACCCGCAAGCCGCCCGTGCATCCGTCGAACCCGAGCCTTGAGGCAGTGGAGGTGTTGCCGGTGCTGCCGCTGTTCTCCCTGGCGGGCCGCCAGTTTGTGCATCTCGTGTTTGACGACACGCCTCTGGCTCACTCGCCTGCCCACATGCACCTCAAGGAGGAGCAGAAGAAAGAGATGGAGGCCCGGGTGAGTGTGTAGGTTTGGGGTGGAATGGGGTTTTCCCCCGAAGGATTTGGTGCAAGGTGGTGGGATGAGAGGGGAGGGAATGGGAGGGGATGGGATGGTAGGGGATGGGAGGGAATGGGGAAGCCGCCCGTGCACCCGTCGAACCCGAGCCTAGAGGCAGTGAAGGTGTTGCCGGTGCTGCCGCTGTTCTCCCTGGCGGGCCGCCAGTTTGTGCATCTCGTGTTTGACGACACGCCTCTGGCTGACTCGCCTGCACACATGCACTTGAAGGAGGAGCAGAAGAAAGAGATGGAGGCCCGGGTGAGTGAATCAGGAGTGTAGTGGTTGTTGTAGTGGTTGTTTGTTTTTTAGAATTCTCAGAGGTCGAGACCAATTTATTGAACAACCCACATTAAAAGCTCTGCCGATATCCAGCCCACCGTTTTCCTGGTGTCCGACCGCCTGCCTGGTGGTTGACTTGGCACAGGGAGGAATTCTTTTGCTGTCCCTCTTATGTGCAATTTTTTTTTTTTTTTTTTTTTTTTTTTAAGATTAACACACGCTATCACATTATTCAAATTCTTCCCTCTCACCCTTCCTCGCCTTCCTCCTGCCCTCCAGGCAATAATGAAGAATTTCAAGGTGGCAGCACCGGGGGGAGGGGAGCCACAGTCATTCGTGGCATATATGGTGCCCAACAAGCGCGAGGTGAGGGAGGCCCATTGACTGAGGTTGACTGGGGTTGACTTTTGAGGCGCCTCAAAAAGGGGAGGGTAGCCGCAGTCGTTTGTGGCATATATGGTGCCCAACAAGCGCGAGGTGAGGCCCATTGACTGAGGTTGACTGGGGTTGACTTTTGAGGCGCCTCAAAAGGGGGAGGGGAGCCACAGTCATTCGTGGCATATATGGTGCCCAACAAGCGCGAGGTGAGGCCCATTGAGTGTATGAATGCATGCATGCACGAATGTTGGGGCGGAGAGCAGGAGGGAGGGGAGGGGGGGGGGGGGGGAGGAGGGGAAAGAGCAGCAGCATTTTGTGGCCTACATGGTGCCAAACAAGCGCGAGGTGAGGTTCATTGGATGCATGCATGCATGCACCTCGAAAGAAGGGGAGGGCACGGGGGATGGGGGAGCGCAGTGGGGGGGAGGAGAGCAGCAGCAGCATTTTGTGGCCTACATGACTGCATGACTGCATGACTGCATGACTGCATGACTGCATGACTGCATGACTGCATGACTGCATGACTGCATGACTGCAGGACTGCATGACTGCATGACTGCATGACTGCATGACTGCATGACTGCATGACTGGCATGACTGCATGACTCTGACTGCATGACTGCATGACTGCATGACTGCAGTGACTGCATGACTGCATGACTGCATGACTGCATGACTGCATGACGCATGACTGCATGACTGCAATGACTGCATGACTGCATGACTGCATGACTGCATGACTGCATGACTGCATGACTGCATGACTGCATGACTGCATGACTGCATGACTGCATGACTGCATGACTGCATGACTGCATGACTGCATGACTGCATGACTGCATGACTGCATGACTGCATGACTGCATGACTGCATGACCTTGCATGACTGCATGACTGCATGACTGCAATGACTGCATGACTGCATGACTGCATGCATGACTGCATGACTGCATGACTGCATGACTGCAGCTGCATGACTGCATGAACTGCATGACTGCATGACTGCATGACTGCATGACTGGCATGACTGCATGACTGCATGACTGCATGACTGCATACTGCATGACTGCATGACTGCATGACTGCATGACTGCATGACTGCATGACTGCATGACTGCATGACTGCATGACTGCATGACTGCATGACTGCATGACTGCATGACGGCATGACTGCATGACTGCATGACTGCATGACTGCATGCTGCATGACTGCATGACTGCATGACTGCATGACTGCATGACTGCATGACTGCATGACTTGCATGACTGCATGACTGCATGACTGCATGACTGCATGACTGCATGACTGCATGACTGCATGACTGCATGACTGCATGACTGCATGACTGCATGACTGCATGACTGCATGACTGCATGACTGCATGACTGCATGACTGCATGACTGCTGACTGCATGACTGCATGACTGCATGACTGCATGAACTGCATGACTGCATGACTGCATGACTGCATGACTGCATGACTGCATGACTGCATGACTGCATGACTGCATGACTGCATGACTGCATGACTGCATGACTGCATGACTGCATGACTGCATGACTGCATGACTGCATGACTGCATGACTGCATGACTGCATGACTGCATGACTGCATGACTGCATGACTGCATGACTGCATGACTGCATGACTGCATGACTGCATGACTGCATGACTGCATGACTGCATGACTGCATGACTGCATGACTGCATGACTGCATGACTGCATGACTGCATGACTGCATGACTGCATGACTGCATGACTGCATGACTGCATGACTGCATGACTGCATGACTGCATGACTGCATGACTGCATGACTGCATGACTGCATGACTGCATGACTGCATGACTGCATGACTGCATGACTGCATGACTGCATGACTGCATGACTGCATGACTGCATGACTGCATGACTGCATGACTGCATGACTGCATGACTGCATGACTGCATGACTGCATGACTGCATGACTGCATGACTGCATGACTGCATGACTGCATGACTGCATGACTGCATGACTGCATGACTGCATGACTGCATGACTGCATGACTGCATGACTGCATGACTGCATGACTGCATGACTGCATGAACTATGCATAGCTGCATGACTGCATGACTGCATGACCTGACCATGACTGCATGACTGCATGACTGCATGACTTGCATGACTGCATGACTGCATGACTGCATGACTGCATGACTGCATGACTGCATGACTGCATGACTGCATGAACTTGCATTGACTGCATGACTGCATGCTGCATGACTGCATGACCATGCCATGACTGCATGACTGCATGACGCATGACTGCATGACTGCATGACTGCATGACTGCATGACTGCATGACTGCATGACTGCATGACTGCATGACTGCATGACTGCGATGAATGCATGACTGCATGACTGCATGACTGCATGACTGCATGACTGCATGACTGCATGACTGCATGACTGCATGACTGATGACTGCATGACTGCATACTGCATGACTGCATGACTGCGACTGCATACTGCATGACTGCATGACTGCATGACTGCATGCTGCATGACTGCATGACTGCATGACTGCATGACTGCATGACTGCATGACTGCATGACTGCATGACTGCATGACTGCATGACTGCATGACTGCATGACTGCATGACTGCATGACTGCATGACTGCATGACTGCATGACTGCATGACTGCATGACTGCATGACTGCATGACTGCATGACTGCATGACTGCATGACTGCATGACTGCATGACTGCATGACTGCATGACTGCATGACTGCATGACTGCATGACTGCATGACTGCATGACTGCATGACTGCATGACTGCATGACTGCATGACTGCATGACTGCATGACTGCATGACTGCATGACTGCATGACTGCATGACTGCATGACTGCATGACTGCATGACTGCATGACTGCATGACTGCATGACTGCATGACTGCATGACTGCATGACTGCATGACTGCATGACTGCATGACTGCATGACTGCATGACTGCATGACTGCATGACTGCATGACTGCATGACTGCATGACTGCATGACTGCATGACTGCATGACTGCATGACTGCATGACTGCATGACTGCATGACTGCATGACTGCATGACTGCATGACTGCATGACTGCATGACTATGCATGACTGCTGACTGCATGACTGCATGACTGCATGACTGCATGACTGCATGACTGCATGACTGCATGACTGCATGACTGCATGACTGCATGACTGCATGACTGCATGACTGCATGACTGCATGACTGCATGACTGCATGACTGCATGACTGCATCTGCATGACTGCATGACTGCATGACTGCATGACTGCATGACTGCATGACTGCATGACTGCATGACTGCATGACTGCATGACTGCATGACTGCATGACTGCATGACTGCATTGACTGCATGACTGCATGCTGCAGTGACTGCATGACTGCATGACTGCATGACTGCATGACTGCATGACTGCATGACTGCATGACTGCATGACTGCATGACTGCATGACTGCATGACTGCATGACTGCATGACTGCATGACTGCATGACTGCATGACTGCATGACTGCATGACTGCATGACTGCATGACTGCATGACTGCATGACTGCATGACTGCATGACTGCATGACTGCATGACTGCATGACTGCATGACTGCATGACTGCATGACTGCATGACTGCATGACTGCATGACTGCATGACTGCATGACTGCATGACTGCATGACTGCATGACTGCATGACTGCATGACTGCATGACTGCATGACTGCATGACTGACTGAATGAGCTGGAACGAATGCATGCCCATTGTGCGACGTGCGTTGACTGTGTTCCGTATAGCTGTAACTTCGCTACCCTGCCTGCATGTGCTTCCCTTTTATATACCTTTTCACTTCCCCCCCCCCCCCTCCCCATCCATCAGATTTGAGAGGGGGAGGGAGAGTGTGCGATATGACTGTTTTTCTTTCTTAACCTCCGCTTTCTTAACCTCCGCTTTCTTAACCTCCGCTATCTTAACCTCCACTATCCCAATTTTCATGTTTCTTTCCCTCGTGTCTTGGCTCTGGGTGCAGTTGGGGAAAAATCTTAGGGAGGGGGAAAGTGCGCGGTATGACTGGGTGCGAGAATACCACTGGAAGGTCCGTACGGCTGCATGCCTTATATTTTACAAGTGAGAAATATACACTTATCTGTCCTGGGGTTTTTTTTTTCCAACATCAGCCCCCCTTTCAGTAATAATCGAAGGCTATCAGTCCGCATCCCCTTAAAATCCCCCCTCCCCCTTGTGTTTTCCAAACCCTGTCTTGATTCTATGTCCCTTTTCTACCTTCTTCCCTCCTCTAACCCCCCCATTCCCCCTCCCCCCCTCTCCCCCTTTCCGTTCACTTACACTCCACCTGTTTCTCACTCGTGCTCTCCCAGGTGGCCAAGGGGGAGCAAGGGCGAGGAACCTTCCTCTTCTGTTTCAACAAGGACAGTGTGACTTACCTTGTGAGTCAACCCCTCCTGGGTCAAATTTTACCTTGTGTTGTGGGATAACTTCTGGGTAAAATCTTGTGTTGTGCATGAATGTTCCTGCAATGCAACCAAGCTCGTGCCCCTGTTGCTTGCTCATTCCTTTCTTTCGAGGTGACTTTTGAGTCGACTCAAAAGTCACTGCAATGCAACCAAGCTCGTGCCCCTGTTGCTTGCTCATTCCTTCCTTTCGAGGTGACTTTTGAGTCGACTCAAAAGTCACCGCAATGCAACCAAGCTCGTGCCCCTGTTGCTTGCTCGTTCCTTTCTTTCGAGGTGACTTTTGAGTCGACTCAAAAGTCACCTCAGTGCAAACAAGCTCTTGCCCCTGTTGCTCATTCCTTTCTTTCACACTGTCGCTGCATTGGTGCGACTTTTGAGAATTCTCAAAAGAATTTGCCTGCAATGCAAGCAAGCTCGCGCCCCTGTTGTAAGAATATTCTTTCACACTGTCGCTGCAAACTCAACTCAAGTAGGGCACTTCGCATCAAGAATATTCTTCTCTCCAGTCTCTGTAATATTTATTGCAAAGAAAAGAGCGTCAATGATCAACCGTTTTCTTTCTCTCTGTCCTCGCATCATGCGTCTGTGCAACCTCAATTCCTCCCCATCTCTCCCCACCTCATCTCATCTCTCCTTACTCTCCTCATCCCTCCTCATCCCTCCTCATCCCTCCTCATCCCTCTGCTCGTGATCTCCCCCTGTTCGCTCCCACCTCCCAGCCAATCAACACAAAGCTCACAGTGGCAAAGAGAAAGGCGAAGGAGGGAGGCAAGGCGAAGGGAGAGGAGGGGGAGAGAGTGGAGCTGCCGGTTCCCTCCAAGGTACTGTGCTGTACTTGCCGCCCGCATGTTGTGTTTGCCGCCCAGAGTGCAGAGTGTTTTTGTGATGCATCGGTTTCAGATTTGTGCAGCGGAAGCACATGTGACACTTTTTGGTGGATGTGAAAACATGTTATCTTTCCCCCCCTCCTTCCCCCCCCCCTCTTCCCCCCCCCCTCTTCCCCCCCCCCTCTTCCCCCCCCCCTCTTCCCCGTTTCGCACGCTTGTGAAGTTGAAAACTGCGTGCCATTGCCCCCGTTTCTGCACACTTTCCGCTGCCGCCCTTCCATCCACCAGATCACAGTGCGGAACCGATCAGGGGAAGACGCAGAGGAGGAGGATGAGAGATGCTTTGAGAATTCTCATAAGTATCCTGCATGTATGTTCCCTTCTCTGCACACTTGCTCCTCCCACCCTTCCACCAGATCACAGTGCGAAACCGATCAGGGGAAGACGCAGAGGAGGAGGATGAGGGAGGGGAGAGGCGGCGACGTGCAGTGGAGAGAGAGGAGGATGATGATGATGAGGAGCATGAGGGACGGAGAGGGAGGGGAGCGAGAAGGGGAAGAGACGAGGAAGAGGAGGAAGAGGAGGAAGAGAGGAGGGAGAAGAGGCCGAGGTATGGGAGTGAAGATAGAGAGGAGAGGGGTGAGAGGGGGGGGGGGGGGGAGAGGGGAGGTGGTGGGAGAGCGGATGGGAGTGCTGATGAGGGAGATGGGCGGAGGAGGCAGCAGGAGCATAGGGCAGACAGTGGCAGTAGTGGTGGTGGTGGGGGGACGAGGGGTGGAAGGGGTGGTGGTGGGGATGGGGGCAACAGTGAGAGTGAGAGTGAGAGGAGGGGGAGAGGGGAGGAGGATGAGCGAGGAGGGAGGCAAGGAGGGGCGAGATTTGAGAGTGACGAGGAGAGAGGGGGAGGGGGGGGTAGAGGTCACAGACGCGGGATTATTGAGAGCGATTCCGAGTAATTCGTTTCAAGTGATTCTAACTGGTTCCGTGTGATTCAGTGGTGTTCAGAGTGAGTGACAGTGATTCTAATCAGTTGCTGTGGGACGAGAAATGAGACTGCTACGGTGAAGAATCTTTAGAGTCTGCGAGAGGGAAGGCTGGGGGAGATGGGATGGGAGAGGAGGCAGATCCAGGCGGAAAACAGGAGTGCTTTGGTGTGGTAACCAGATGGTACCCTACTTGGTGGTGGTGCTGCTGCTGATGAGGAATGGTGACTGGATAGATCAGCTTCTCAGGTTTTAGACATGCCTCACTAAATGATCCCCTTTGTTGGGCCGAGACACCCTAAAGGGCACACTGAAAGAGGAAATTGCTCTGTTAGAACGGGCCAGACCTTTTTTTATCAGTGTAAATCACTCTGTTTCTCTGAAAATCAGGGTGGTTTTTTTAGAGTTATGCTTTCTCTGATTTGTCAGAGTAGTCTTGTTAGGCCCTCTGATGTCCCAGTGTTTCTTTTACGGATGCCGATTTTACTATGTGCAGAGGATACATGTATCGCCGAACATCCGTTGCCCCCCTTATCCCCACGTTACCGGTTTTTACCCGAACCGTACCAGAAATCCCTCTGGTTATCGCGTGTGTTGGCAGCAGCTTGTACGTTGATTGGCTGGTAGGGCATTTTTCAGGGCACCGTATACTTAGCTGGATTTTTGAAAACCGAACACGATGTACATCACCCAACCTTACAGGCAACATTCAGCAGGTTCGTCTGCGGCCCAACTTTCGTGTGCGGCGCGCAGGGAAAGGTCTGTTGCTCGGCTGGCTGATGGGGTGAGCACCAAACCCCACATTCTTTCCCATTATCTCCCCTTCCATTGACGAGCACTCCATCGCACCAGTGGTGCTTGTTCTCAGTGGGGTTTCAAGGCACAGCCCCGCGCACCATGGATACTGACGCCGATGCAGACGCGGCTGATCCGGATGATAGGCCATCGTGTAGCAGTCGTCCAGTGACTGGGCTTCAGTTTCTCCGTAGTGTGCATCAGGCGCACATGCGCGACGATGACGAGGACGGTGACGGCGGTACAGAATGGGTGCGACGCCCTCGCCCGGAAGGTGGCGAAGCAGTTGACGGTATCGGCTTCTGGTGTCGATCGCCACACGGGGAGCCTGAGGCTGCAGATTCCGACGGCATTGAGGAATGGGTCGCATCGCCGCGAACGGAGGAACCTGCTGAACCGGCCGCGACGGTTCCAACCCAAGTCATTGATGCCGCCACCGGAGTCGACAGGATCAATGGCCCCGAAAAAGCGACGAATGACGCAACAAGTGCTGCAGTGGGGAACCCCGCCGCCGAAACCCCCCGCTCCGCCTCCCGCCTCTTTACCACCCCCCATTCCTCCCCTTTCAGACGTGGAGAAGAGAGAGAAGGCTTACCTGAAAGCCCAGAAGAATTACACCTCGGAATGGCTGCCGAAGTTCGATTGGTTGATTCTTGACAAGACCCCCGAAGGCGAGCCGTATCTGCGTTGCAGTGTGTGCATGGAGCACGGGAAGGATAACGCACGATACGGCCGAAATGGCGCCGGCGGACGTGCAGGTTGGCTCCATGCGGTGGCACGAGAACATCATGAAGCATGATGACGCGATGAAGAAGCAGGCGAATTTGATGAAGAAAATCACTGATCAGAAGAAAATCGCCGACTTCGCGAATGGCGATCCCGAAGGCTCTCGCGTCGCGCGCCTCATGCGGGCCATTCGTTTTGTGTGCCGCACCGACACGCCCATCCACATGTTTCCCCAGATCGTCCAGTTCCTTGCGGAGGAGGGTGTCGCCGACATCCCGCGTCAGAGCTACGGCGTATACATCACCCAGTGAGTTCACCATGTGAAGTATTTAATAAAACTTTACCTCGTGTTGTTAATTATCCTAATACGTTTTCCTTTTTTGTTGAAAACTTGTGTCAGGTACGGTTTCGCGGAAATGGTCAGAGCTCTGACCACGTACCTGAGCAGAGAACAGCTCCGACACCTGCACGCCTCACCCTTCATCGGCATAATGTGCGACGAGAGTACCGACCGCGCGCGTGGCAAACACATGATTGTGTTTGCCACTTTCCTGAAGAACTGGGTGGTCGTCACCGAGTTTCTCGCGTTACTGACTGTCGAGCAGTGTGATGCTGCCTCGCTGCTTGGAGTTCTACTGCAGCATCTCAAGAGCATTGGCGTCGAGTTACGGAAGATCGCGGGGATTTCCATCGACGGCGCATGTGTGATGATCGGTGGCACGTCAGGCCTTGTGACGAGACTGCGGCTGCGCATCCCCCATCTGGTCGGGGTTCACTGCATTGCGCATCAGTACGTAAGTTAAAATAAAATTTCGTGTTAGTCTAATTTCAAAACATTTATCACACTGTTTGTTATAACCTACTAACACGTGTCTCGTCTACTTACTCGTGCAGTGAAGCTCTGGCTGTCAAGGAATCGGTGGAGAAATTCCCTGACTTGGCGATCGTGGATAAGTCGATCAGGGCGGTTGGCGAGATCGTGGGAAAATCCACGCCCTGGTACGAGAGGTTGCAACAAGTGATCCACATCACCAACTTGGAGCACCAAGGACTGCACGACGTGCGTTGGCTCTCCCGTGGTGATGCAATTTTGCGCATGGTCAAGATCTTGGGGGCGGCGATCGTTGTCTTACTGGAGTGGAATCACAAGATCGCGCCAGTGGTGCAGACTTTGAAGTACCACTTCTGTCAGTACTTTCTGGCAGACATCCTGGGGGAGATGAACTCGCTGAACCGCTTTTTCCAGCGGCGGAAAGTAAGTCCCTGAACTTTAGTTAATGTTGTTTAACTAATTGTTTCAACAATCACTAACTACAATTTTGTTTTTCTTTCACCCCTCCAAATAGGTGGAAGTGACCCAAGTTTCGGAGGAGGTGGACCGCGTGGTGCCGTACATACAGCACCGATACATCGACTACGACTGCACGTTCGGGGCGGCAATGAGCAACCACCTGTCGCCATTCCTGGCACGGCTCAAGGACACTGACAAGAAAGTGACAGTTGAAGGGGTGGACGCGAGCGGCCGTGTTGCCCGTCATGTCATCAAGCTCACCGAGGAGCGCATCCCTGGGCACAAGTGCGGCGGCACCGTGGCAGATTGCGTGAAGCTGTGCAAGGCATTCTCCCAGGAGGTCGTGTACAATCTGACGCACCGCATGCGAGATCTGAGGCGGCTGGGCGGCACGAAGCTGTTCAAAGTCGAGAAGTGGCCACCAAACCAGGACACACGTGCGCGACGATGTGCCAGCTGGCTTCGGGAGAACGCTGTTATGTTCAACAACCAACTCCCAGGTATGGAAGACACTAGAAGTTTGTTTTCGGGGGTGTTACGAAAGACACTCGAAGTTTGATTTTGACAATTGTTTAATCTGGTCGTTGCCACAAATCTAATTTCGCTTGTTATACATGCACATTCGTGCCCACTGATGTGGCAGGTTTCGATTTGCGGGCAGCCGAGCTGGAGCTGAAAACATTATGTCACATCCTGAAGAACCACCACGAGGACGAGGACTTCTTCCAGGGGCTCACCAACATGCTGGCGACTCGCGACTGGCAACGCACTTACCCCAACATCGTGACCATGTGGCAGGCGTTGGCCATCCTGCCGATAAGCACCGTCGAGTGTGAACGTGGCTTTTCGCGCCAAAACATCATCAAGAGCTGGCGGCGCACGACTCTCAACGACGCGCGTCTGACGGAACTCATGAGCATCCACATGCTGGACTACAACGTGGAGTGGCCAGATGTCGTGGACATCTGGCGCAAGCAGAAAAAGCGTCGACCTGCAAAATCACCTGCGCCATTCCGACCTGCAACCAACAGGGGGGAAGTAAAAGTTGAATATGACTCAGAGAATGAACCTGAGGCCGCCGGGGAGCAAGTTACCTCGGAGGGGTGAGAGGTTTAGTTTGTGCTATGTACCTCTCAATTTTAATATAAATTGAATAATTCAATCTCGTTTCGTTTCAACACCCTTCAATTAAACACCGTGGGAGCCCAGAACTACAGTAACGCCATATTTCGTGAAACATCATAGTAGACACTAACTACACTGACGCCTCAGGGTTCTAATTTCAAAAACCAAAATTACTCTGACCAATCAGAGAAACGACACGAAACCACTCTGAATTTCAAAGTCTCGTGAAAAACCACCCTGGAAACCAGTGTGCTCAAAAAAAAAAAAAAAATCCCCTGGAACGGGCGTTATAAATTCACGAACCAACTCTTTGCCTCTAGTCTTGTAACATTTTGGCTGGTTGGTTGCTTGTTCCTTTATGTGGCTGCCTTGTTCTAGTGGTACTGGTGGTATGCATCGTGAATGATGTATGAAGGAACTGATGGAGAAAGGGTAAGGTGAGGGTACAGGTTCGCTTAAAAACTCGCCGTAGGCGTGCCGCGAGCAAAGCAAGCTCCCTTGTGCGGGCAGGGCACACAAAGATTTACCGCTACAAGTAACAGTTCTTCCTCCGATCTGAGCTGGTAGTACTGGTAGTTGTTCCTGTTGACAAGTACATGGGGGTACAAGTAGCAACCCATACCCTGTAAAGTACAGCCCAACATAGCCTAACAAATGTACACCGACAAATGTATCTGTTTACTTTGAAACAACGCAGGGCGGCACTACTAGTCCAGCCTCTGAGGCAAGAGGCCACAAGGCCAGTCAACAAGAACACCTAAGTGTATGAGGTACAACTCAGGGCGGTACCAATAGCCCAGCCTTTGAGACAAAGGGCCACAAGGCCAGTCAATGAGTATAAACATACAAAATCACATCAAGTACAATGTACAGAGATCAAGATCCTAACAAGTTAGGTCCTTTTGGGACAAGGCCAAGCTGTGTGCAGAGTCGCTGATGATCACGAGGCGGGAGCGCGATATCAGCGGTGTTGGCTCCTGAGGCCAAGTGTACTATGCATGACTGGCCGCGCTGCTGCAGCTCACGCAGCATGAAGTACTTCAGCTGGATGTGCTTCGCTCTGCCCTCTAGTCGAGGCTCCTGACAGTGGAGGATCATGGCCCTGTTATGAACGAACAGGACCGGGGCAGAGCTAGGCGGCTCAGTAAGTCAGTGAGCAAGAACGTCAGCCAGCAGAGCTCCTGAGAAGCCAAAGCACCCGCGTAGATCTCTGCCTCACAGCTGGACTATACCACGACGAGCGAGTGGACCTCTACGAGACAGCCCCGGCGCCAAGACTGAAGGAGTAGCCCTGAGAGGACCTGAGAGTCTCGATGTCGTATGCCCACGACGCGCCAGTTTGTCCCGTGAGTGCAACTGGCTGTCATCCTCCGAGGACAAGCCCCATGCCTGATGTGCAAGTCAGATAGCGCAATACCCTCTTTGCAGCCGACCAGTGCTCAAGTCGGTGTCTCCCAGTCGCAACAAAGCGAGCAAGGATGCTGAGAGGATGTGCGAGATCTGGGCGAGTGCAGGTCATCAGGTACATAAGGCACCCCACCAGCTCTATGTACTGACCACTGGGCTCAGCAGGCTCGTCAGGGACAGGGTCCGAGAGCGTGTGGCCAACAGTCAGAAGAGTGGGCTGTGCAGAGGAGAACTGAAGGCCTGGAGATGCAGGGCATTAAAGATAAGGTGGTTGTTGCGTGGAGACGTAGTGCAATGTCTCGTTGCCGTCCTACCATCTGCCATCGTGTTACCGTGGGAGCACGACAAGGCCATGTACAATGTCGTGACGAGCTTCAAGTTCCATTTCTTCCTCTTCTTCCTTGCTTTGTCCTGCAGAAGCTCAACGAGCTACATACGGAGTTTCAACGCCGAGCGGTGAGTGTGTCGTCTATCACTTTCAGGTGGGCTCATCTTGAACATGACTAACCATCACCGTTTTCACAATGATGCAGGTGGACATCACCCGAGTTGTGGGGATTGTACAGAACACCTGCGGGAAGTTGAGGGCACGCTACGTGGAGCACGGTGTCAACTTCGCCGAGGACATCAAGAACCTCAGCTCGTTTCTCGAACGGCTCACCACTCCATCCCGACGTCTGGTTACAGTGGATGGGATGGACGGAGAGGGCAATGCTTTAACACATCGCTTCAAGCTTCACGAGAGCGCACTGGATGGCAAAAAAACAGTGGGTGATTTTGGATGCTTGTGTGACCCTCGCCACTCTATTTGTGCAGGATATGATTTGCAACCTACTGTCCCGGATGCGCAGCTTGGACTCTCTTGTTGGGGCCAAGCTGTTTTTGCCTGACACCTACCCGGATGGCATGGCCAATTGCGACTGTGTCTCTGCGGTGTGGTTCAGCTCCCTCCGCAAGCTCTTCAAGGCTAGAGAATGCACATTGCCAGTTAAGGACAGCTTCTACTTTTCACAATGATCAAGGTTTTTTCCAGTCCTGCACCTTGTCTAATCCGTATCCTAACGACGTTCCATGCTGGTGCATGCTAGGTGTGAACTGGAAGAAGGTGGAGCGGGAGCTGATGCGCTTCACCGTAGTGATGAAGTTCCAATTCAAGGAGCAAACATTCCACGGATGCCTGAAGAACATGCTGCGGAGCGGGGACTTGGAGACCTCATTTCCAAACTCCTCGCGCTTGTGGGTAGCGGTTGCCGTTCTACCGCTTAGCACCGTGGAATGTAAGCGTGGATTCAGTCGCCAGAACGTCATCAAGTCCTGGCTTCGTGGCAACCTATGCAACGCCAGAATTACAAACCTCATGTGCATTTCCTTGCTTCAGTACGACCAGGACTGGGACGATGTTGTGAAGCTGTGGCGCAAAGCAAAGAAGCAGCGCCCTGCAAGAGAAGTGTGTGGTGTGGCCCAGGACAACACCAAGCACAAGGGGGTAGTGGCAGGTGCTTCACCACCAGAGACTGCAGCTGACGAGAACCCTGCTGTTGGAGAACAGAAGCGTATGAGAAAGGCCAAGGCTAAAGTGGTTAGCGATAGTGAAGAGGAGGATGCAGTAGATGTACGTGCAACTGTAATGCTCAATAGTGAACCAGTCTCAGAATAGTCGACTGTAGTAAGCTTGATTGGTGTTCAACTCTAGAAGTCTATTGTGTAGTGTTGCAATCACAATTGTAGTCAATACTAGAAGCTCGACAGGGTTTTGGCCTATCTCTGATTGATCTGACAAGAAACATAAAAAAAAATCTGATTGATAAGACATAAAAAACAATCAATATATCCGAAGAATCAGACGAGCCCTTTGATGCATCAGGCGGGTTCAAATACTAGCGAGGACCCTGATCCCCTCGGTAAAACATATTCTGAAAGTAGTCCCACAATTATCTGGGGGAGAGTCCCGCCCTCACCCCTTTCGCGAGCTGACGGAAAGTAGCAAGTATGTCAAGGACAATTAACCCTCTCACCTGAACTACGCAATTTGGTTTTTTTGGGTCTGGTACCCTTATGGCTGTCTATTTGTAATCCCATTATCTCTGGGTGTCCGTCTCATCAAGCCAAAGAATGTACAGGGTGTCCTACGGAACAGAGCGTACGGGGCGTGACCTTATCAAGAACTGCATCATGTTAAAAATCGATGCCACTGTCCAGACGGAGATTCCTGATTTTTACACTGAACAATTATTATGGGACACACGTCTCTGTGATTGCGTTGTGCAGAAAATCCTTGGTAAGTGTAATATCTAGAATCGACATTGTAAAGCGAGTGCGTTTAACTCATCACTTGACCACGCGCTGGAAAATAACATTTGAAATGAATCAGAAACATGTAAACCGCTCATTGATACGATTCACCATGTAACGCCTCTATCCGACAAATGATTTCCTCTTCTTCCTCAACTGCGCTCCCCTTGCTTGTTCCTCCTCTTCTTTTACTTGCATCAAATATTTCCTAACCTGCTCATGGCTAAAAGGAATGTCTTTGCATCCCAGCAATCTAGTCACACCTGTGCTCCCTTTCCCTAATGTCACCTCTTCCCCACCCACCTCTGCCATTGCCCTGGCGCCCTCTCTCCCTTCTGTAATATCTCTAGCTCCTACTACACTCTCGCTATAAGCCACCCTCAGCCGTCCTACTAACGAATCAGCACTACTCCAGGTCTGCCTTAAAGGGCAGGCACACGCTTCTGAAGGGGAATTGGTTCCATAAAGCCCGCAAACGCCCTTCTGGTGAATTCTAGTCCTACCAAACTTGTCGAAGTACTGTAGAAAGGTTATAACGTGTGAGGGTGTACACTCTGCAAGGGGAACTGGGGGTTGATGGCGCTGCAGGTACTGGTTGAAGGTGTCCCAGTCACGAGTCTTTTGTGCTGCATACCGACTCCTTTGACTCTTTCCTCCCATCCGCTCTCCAGAGGTATTTGCCGGCTTCTCTTGCGGCACCTGTTGTTTTGATGGCTGATTTTGTGGCTGCTGCTGCTCCTGCTGCGGCTCCTCCTGCTGCTTCTCCTCCTGCTGATGCTGCTGCACCTGCTCCTGCTGGTGGTGGTGGTGGTGGTGGTGCTGCTGCTGCTGCTGCTGCTGCTGCTGCTGCTGCTGCTGCTGCTGCTGCTGCTGCTGCTGCTGCTGCTGCTGCGGCCGCTTCCATTGCCGTTCCCTCTGTTGCTCCTGCTTCTGCTGCCGCTGCCTTTCCTGTTCCCTCTGTTGCTGCTGCTGCTGCTGATGCTGCTGCGTTTGCTGTTTCTTTTGTTGCTGCTGCTGCCAATGCTGTTGCTGTTCTGTCTGTTGCTGCTGATGCTGCTGCAGATCCATCTCGCTCTGTTCCTCCTGCAAGTTGAGTGATGTGTTTCCCACCATGTCGTCCAGCACCACCGCCCCAATTCCGTCCACCATCCAGTTGCAAAGATGCCTCATGCTGATAGAAGCAACACTGGAGTAGGGCGCACTAGAGTACGGCACACTGGGAGAAGGTACACCAGGGGAAGGTACACCAAGGGAAGGTACACCAGGGGAAGGTACTCCAGGGGAAGGTACACCAGGGGAAGGTACTCCAGGGGAAGGTACACCAGGGGAAGGTACACCAGGGGAAGGTACACCAGGGGAGGGTACACTCGGAGAAAATGAAATAGGAGTGGGCACAGCCAAAGAAAGAAGCATGTCTGCCAGAGATGACCTAGGTAGGTTTCGCTGGCAAGGGAGTGGATCGGAGAAGGATGTGTGATGGAGCGGTGCATTGGGAGCATGACTAGGTTGATGTGGAGGCGATTCTGCCAACGAGGCTTGAGAATACAAGTGAGAGGGATCTGCAGACAGGGACCTGGGGTGAGGCTGGGAGTAAGGGGTGGGATGGAGGGTGGGCAAGGGCGTGGGTTGGGGATGGATGGGTTGTGGCTGGGCGGGTTGATGTGGAGGGGAGTGGAGAAACGGGGTTTGAGAGTACAAGTGAGAGGGCTCGGCAGACATGGACCTGGGGTGAGGCTGGCCATAGGAGGTGGGACGGAGGTTGGCTAAGGGCGAGGGTTGGGGACGGGTGGTCTGGGGGCGGTTGAGTTGGGGCTGGATGGGTTGGGGCCGATAAAGAGCCTGGATAGATGTGCCTGTGACTCGGTGGCTGAGAGGATGTGCGTCCATGGCTGTGGGCCATGTAGTTTCTGTGAGCCATGAAGTTGCTGTGGGCAATGCAGCTGCTACAGCTGGTGGTGCTTGACCTGCTACAGCTGGTGGCTCTTGACCTGCTACAGCTGGTGACACTTCCCCTGCTACATCTGAAGGCTTGCTAGCTGCTACAGCTGGTGGCACTTGAACTGCTACAGCTGGTGGCAATTGACCTGCTACAGCTTGCTGGTGGAGGTGCTGCTGGGAGTGCAGGAGGTGCTGCTGGTGCTATAGGAGCTGGAGGTGCTGGACCTACTCCTGACCGTCACTGTCTGTCATGGCCACTTCCGCGGCAGTTGCTGCGGTCAGGGGTGGACAGCAGCGGGCACTGCTTCTCCCGGACAACCCCACCCCTCAGCAGGTTCGTGAGTGGGTTATTCAGCGAGGTCGTCCTGGTGGTGGAGGTTATCGTTTTGTTAAGACTGCTGCTCTTGGTGCTAGTGAGTCTGCTGCTACTCCAGGTGCTAGTGAGTCTGCTGCCGCTCCAGGTGCTAGTGAGTCTGCTGCAGCTCTAGCTGCCCGTGAGTCTGCCAACGCTCTAGGTGCTAGTGCCTCTCCTACCACAGGTCCTGCCTTAGCTGAGGTCTTGCACACTTTCACGCTTGACTCAGGCGCGTCACGTTGCTTCTTTCGTGATTGCACCACAGTCACACCACTCACAGCACCTGTCCCAGTCTCACTGGCTGACCCCTCTGGGGGCCCAGTAGTTGCGAGAGCCTCCACGGTCCTCCCTTGTCCAGCAGTCCCCTCCGGCTCTCTGTCAGGTCTCCACCTCCCCACGTTCTCGACGAACTTGGTGAGCAACGCTGCCATTCAGGATGTCTGGGTTGATACCTTTATTCCTGGAGGGCAGCATGTGGCGATCTGTACGTGCTCCCGGACTGGCCGTCACCTGGCTACGTTCACTCGACAGCCTGGGTCTAGTCTGTATACACTGTGCTACAGCTGGTGACTCTTCCCCTGCTACAGCCGATGGATCGGTAGCTGCTACAGCTGGTGGCTGTTGAGCTGCTACTGCTGATAGTCCACTGCAAACTTGTAGTATGAAGTGTGTCCCACTGGCTCCTTTGTTGCATGTACCAGCAGCTGCAGCAGCTGCAGCGGCTGTAGCAGCTGCAGCGCCTGTAGCAGGAGGAGGCAAAGTAGGAGGATGTGTTGTGCCCGTACCAGCTGTAGCTGCAACACCTGTGGCAGCGACATCTGCACCTTCAAGAACACTGCATACAAGTGCTGGGCTGCTGCTGCTGCTGTTGCTGCTGCTGCTGCTACTGCCGCCAATGGAGCCTCGGCTTCTGCTCCCACTCCCCCTCTCACTCCCCCTCTCAATCCCCCTCTCACGCTCCCTCTCACTCCCCCTCTCACCCCCACTCTCGCCATCACTCCCGCACACACTCGTACTTGCCTCCTGAACCCTGTTCCTACCCACTCCTCCACTCCCTGCCCTACTCCCCATCCCACCGCCTCTTCCACTCCCTCGTTCCCCTCTGCTTGTGCTCGCGCATCCCATTGCACCCCTCAGAACGCCTGGCTCATGCACTTGACCATCCATGTGCGCTGCTGGGGATGATCCTTGCCCCATGAATGTGCGGTGCACATGCACTGGAGGATGTTCTGCTGACGTGTCCATGATCCCAGGCCTGCCCATCTGCAGGCTCGGCTCTGCACTGCTTCTGCCTTGGATGGTGGAGGAACGGGGTGCAAGCATCATGCTCAGATCCAGCATGGTGCTGCTGCGAGCCATGCTGCTGCTGTTGTGGATGGAGCTGCTGTGGACCATGCTGATGCTGCTGCTGTCGGGTGTGTCACGTGGATAGGTGCTGCTTCGGCCAAGCAGCAGGTTTGGAATGATGCTGCTGACATCCCCGTACCTCGCCCGTACCGTGCCGAGGCTCTGGTTATTTTCAAGAGTTTCAGGCGCCTGCACTTGAGGGTCGCGGCTAGTGGCAGGCAGATGGATAGCGGCAGGTAACTGGCTGGGGAGCTGGCTGGGAAGCAGGTTGGGAATGATGCCGCTGGCATCCCCATACCGTGCCCGCACAGTGTGGCTGCGCTGGTATCCAGGCTCTTCAGTCCCCTGCATTTGAGGGCCGTAGTTACTGGCAGGGAGATGGGTGCTGGCGGGGAGATGGCTTGTTGTATCCCCACCATCATTCTGCAGCCTTGACTGGTGGCTGTTGAAATCCACTCCATACTTCCACGGTTCCCCTTCTAAGCTTTCCTGTTGTGCTGAGCCTGCCTGCTGTGCCAACCCTGGCTGCTGTGCCAAGTACAACTGCGGTTCCAAGCCTGGTTGCTGAACCAAGCCTGTCGGCTGTTCCGAGCCTGAGTGCTGCACCAAACCTGGCTGCTGCACCAAACCTGGCTGCTGTACCAAACCTGACTGCTGCACCAAACCTGGCTGCTGCACCAAGCCTTGCTGCTGCACCAAACCTGTCTGCTGCACCAAACCTGTCTGCTGCACCAAACCTGTCTGCTGCACCAAACCTGTCTGCTGCACCAAACCTGTCTGCTGTACCGAACCTGGCTGCTGTACCAAACCTGGCTGCTGCACCAACCCTGACTGGTGGAAGTGGGATGTCTCCGCCAGAATGTGTTGATGGTTGTCTGCAGCTGGTACTGTGGAGAGGGAGAGGCTATGAATGCCTAAATATAGCTCATCATCAGCACAGCAATCTGTGTGATCAAGCCCATGAGTCGTGCTGTTCGGAGGGGCTGTATGCATGCTCTGCAGTGGGTGCTTCGACAGCTGAGATGGCTCGGTTGGGACCTGAGATGGCTCAGAATCAGTGCAGGCACCTGTGCAATCGAGCCCATGAGTCGTGCTGTTCGGAGGGGCTGTATGCATGCTCTGCAGTGGGTGCTCTGACAGTTGAGATGGCCCAGTTGGGATATGTGATGAACTTTCTGGGAGATTGAAGGGATGAGTTGCCAGCTCGTGCATATGAACAGAAAGCTCCATGGTTTGAGTTGGCTGTTGCATGGTATGTCCTGGCTGTTGCATGGTATGTCCTGGCTGTTGCATGGTTTGTCCTGGCTGTTGCATGGTATGGCTTGGCTGCTGCATGGCCTGCCTTGGCTGTTGCATGGCCTGCCTTGGCTGTTGCATGGCCTGCCTTGGCTGTTTCACAGACCCGTTTCCCTTGCCCATATGCCCCTCCATCCCTTTTCCCCTGCTCCCCTGCACGCCCATGTCATTTCCCCTGCCCAATTGGTTCTGTGACCAATCCTCCCTGGCGATGTTTTCCCGTGACCCATCCTCCCTGCCCGTTTTCTCCCCAGATCGATTCCCGAACGGCATGAATATTTCAGGAGACGTCAGGAAGCCAGGCTGTTGGGCCTGTCCCATCTGCATCTGCCTCGGCTGCTGCTGCTGCTGCTGCTGCTGCTGCTCCTGCTGCTGCACAGAAACCACTGCACCACTCCCTTCACCACCGCCCTGCCCAGCTCTGCGCCCAAAATACTTGAAAGATGCAGGGGACGGCAGGAAGCCAGGCTGCTGCTCCCATTCCCTCTGCTGCTGCTGCTGCTGCTGCTGCTGCTGCTGCTGCTGCTGCTGCTGCTGCTGCTGCTGCTGCTGCTGCTGCTGCTGCTTCTGCTTCTTCTGCTGCTGCTGCTGCTGCTGCTGCTGCTGCTGCTGCTGCTGCTGCTGCTGCTGCTGCTGCTGCTGCTGCTGCTGCTGCTGCTGCTGCTGCTGCTGCTGCTGCTGCTGCTGCGCCCATTGCCTCTGCGTCTGCCTTGGCTGCTGCTGCACTGGTTCCACAGCCTTACCCCTTTCACCAACATTCTGCCCTTCCTCCAGTTTCAGCGCACTCCCAGAGCAGCTGTGTTGAGGCCCTCCAGGCCTATAACTGGGGCTGCTTCCCTGATCTGCCCCCACCAGGCCTCTGTAATCATCTCTTTTGTTATGGCCATATGGCTCTGAACCCAAGGTGGTCCCAGAGATAAAATGCAGGACTGCTTCTTGCTGGAAATTATTTTTGGCATTATTGTCGCATAGGGTAGAGTTTTTGCAGCTTGGAAGTTGGAATTGGGAAGGATATGCTGCGGATTCTGACTCGATATAATGCTGCTGCTCTTTCCGCCACTGCTGCTGCTGCTGCTGCTGCTGCTGCTGCTGCTGCTGCTGCTGCTGCTGCTGCTGCTGCTGCTGTTCTGTCTGCCACTGCGGCTGCTGCTGTTCTGCCTGCCACTGCTGCTGCTGCTGCTGCTGCTGCTGCTCCTGCTGCTGCTCCTGCTGCTGCTGCAACACTTGCTGCTGCTCTCTCACACGAACTGAGCAAAACTTTTCGAAGGAAAGAAAGTCATGCCACGAACCTGCTGTAGCGGCAATGGTGGATGCAGGAGCAGCAGGAACGCCAGTGGCTGTAGCAGCAAATGTGAATGCAGTAGCAGCAGAAGTGAAAGTGTTTGAAGCAGCAATTGTGGATGAAGGAGCGGCAGGAGCGCCAGCGGCTGTAGCAGCAAATGTGGGTACAGAAGAAGCAGGAGTGTGAGCAGCTGTCGGCACACCTTGCACTGCTGCTGTTGCTCCTTCCACCCAACCAGGAGCTGGACTTGCTGATATCGGTGGGATTGACAAGGAAGCGAAGTCAGAACCAGCAACAGGCATGAGCATGTGCGTTGGCAGATTGCGCACGGAAACTGGAACCTCCGTACCTCTTTCTGTCTCTCCAAGAGGCTCACTCCAGTGGGGGGACATCCATCCAGCAAGTTTGTCGTCATCGTTATTGCACGACGTAGGTGGCTGGTGTATGTTGACAGTTGATGCCGCATTCACGCCATCACAACTCGTGATGGTATGTGGTGGCGTGGGTGGCTGGTTGATGTTGAGTAGAGGAGCTTTGCCATCACTGGTGGCATGACCCATGATGGTAACAGGCGGCGTGGGTAGCTGGTGCCTGTTGAACGACGAAGAATTCCCGACATCATCCCTCGTGATCATCATGCTGCTTGGCTGCTTGGGTGGTTGGTGCATGGTGTCTTGCTGGCAACCACTGGTTGATGGAGGGAGTGTGCAAAGTTTCCCGAAGACCACGGAAGGCAGGAGTGTGCAAAGTCCCCGTGACAACCACGAACGGCAGAAGTGCGCAATTTCCCCTGAAGACCACGCACGGCTGAAAAGGTATCTTGAAGACCACGTGCTGCAGGAGTGACGCTTGGGTCGACTCAAAAGTCTCCTGAAGAACACGTGCGGCAAGAGTGAAATTTCCCCAAGAGCAACGTCTGCGTCGGTTGTTAGGGAGGGAGGGAGGGAGGGAGGGAGGGAGGGAGGGAGGGAGGGAGGGAGGGAGGGAGGGAGGGAGGGAGGGAGGGAGGGAGGGAGGGAGGGAGGGAGGGAGGGAGGGAGGGAGGGAGGGAGGGAGGGATTGAGGGAGGGAGGGAGGGAGGGAGGGAGGGAGGGAGGGAGTGAGGGAGGGAGGGAGGGAGGGAGGGAGGGAGGGAGGGAGGGAGGGAGGGAGGGAGGGAGGGAGGGAGGGAGAGAGAGAGAGAGAGAGAGAGAGAGAGAGAGAGAGAGAGAGAGAGAGAGAGAGAGAGAGAGAAGAGAGAGAGAGAAAGAAGGGAGAGAGAGAGAAGAGAGAGAGAAAGAAGGGAGAGAGAGAGAAGAGAGAGAGAAAGAAGGGAGAGAGAGAGGCGAACAAATCCAGATGAGTAGCAGCGTCGCAATGCAGAGTGGCACTCAAGCAAAACATTCTTAAAGGGGTTGGAGGTATGAGTAGTACTCACGAGCTGACCACAGAGATCTCCGCCGTGATTTGAAATATATTTCACATGATTTGAACTCCACATGATTTGAAATATATTTCACCCAGGTTGAAAATAGTAGCAGCCACCGATCGCATTATACATCCACCGGCATTTTGAGATTAACAGAAGTGTCACTGAAACAATTTCTGGAATCTCGTAGTTTTAGTACTTCTACTAGTAGGAGCTAGTAGAATAGGCGATTTTTTCTGGGTTTTGGGGGCGGCCAGATTGCTTGGTTCACTGACTGCTGGAAAAGTTGTGTCACTGGTACTCCACTTAGTCTGTGTTTGAGCGGCTCGATTTCCCTTCTATGCATTTGGATGGGGTTTCGAGCAAATGCGAACTCATGTGACATGGAGAACATGCTCACGTTTGGTCTGGTTTGGGTGGAGTTCGATTGGCTGGAAATAGTCTGAGGAGGAGGTTCGGGTTTGGTTCGGTTTGGGAGGAGTTGTGCAAAGATTGCGACGTGCGGAAACGCTACTCTCCGTGGGTAGTCCCAGTGGAATACGCAGGAGGGTGCGGAAAGGGGTGGTGTGGTGTGGTGTGGCGCTGTTTGTTGCGGTCAGTTTGAGGGGCGGAAGGGAGTGGTATGAACCTCCCCCAAAACTGAAACTGCTCCAAACCAAATATATTTGCTGATTTGCTGACTGCCAAATGCCTCACCATGCCGAGCCAATTGTAGCGTTGCTGGTCCGATAACAACGCCGGTCTGAAACGAGGAATACAGCACAGTACAGTACAGCTGTACAACTTGAAGCCTGACAGTCGGACTGACAGTGGTTTGGCTTCACAGGCAACTGTCCACGGGCAGGACACTGATTGGACCACTCTGCGGCCGGATGAGAACGAACAAACATTTGATGGTAACCATCTGCGCGCAAGAAGCAGATTTTGAACCTGTACGCAAGAGGCCCATTTTCCTCTGAAGAAAGCTTGACAATCAGATCAGAAGCGTGAATTCCTGGAGCTACTGTACGCAAATCTGTACAATATTCCTATTCGTCGACTGTTTATGTCTACACCTTGACTTCGTATTCGTGCCAAAACAAACCAGAAAACAATGGGAAAAGAACGAACACTCCAATGGAACTGCACACGTCCACTCAAGCTCTACACCCGTAAACGTACTTCAAATCGGGCATTTAACACCTGCCTGGTGCAACCCCGATTGCCGTCCAGCACAGTCCTCAATATGATTGCAGCCAAGAGTTGTGAACAGCAAGAAATGTTTTGTACAGTCGATGCTCAGCCTATCACAAAACATTTGCTCCTCACAATTAGAAATCTCACAATTAGAAATTTAGTCACTCGCGAACGTTTTGCCCGTGAGTGACTAAATTGACCATTGTGCCGATTTCGGGGTACAGTCACCAAGTTGAGGAAGAAAAACATATACAGTACATAAACAACAACGGTTGCCCGTCATCTGAAAAGTTTACCTGGTTACGAAATTAAAGCCCTTGACTCGATTCACAATGCAATTTCATATTACAGTCACATTTTTGCCCGTGGCGACAAGGGCGTCTGTGGCGAAAGGCCCTGAAACACGTTTCACGCACATGCCGCCCGCCTACCTGGTGTTCTTGAAATGAGCACCGACTGTACACGTAACAGCAGTCTGAATGGGAATCCACTCAATTCTCGGAATTCTTGTTTCTGGAGGAGCAATTACATTTGCGATGCTTCCCACTTGAAGTGTGGGAGGGGCAGCAGGGGAAAAACAGCGACGGACTCACTCGCCACTACTGAACTCCATGATTCTCTTTTCATTTTAAGGCCCTCTTCCGAATCAAGGTGTGTACTTTTCGTAGCGTAGAGCTTCGTGGCAACAAATTACTCGGACGCTATAGTACTACTAAGGGGTACTTAGTCATTACGTTACCTAGAAGATTCTGATTGTGCTCCCTGGACACGAAAGGTTGTACCCCCTGGACACTGATTGTCCTTTTTGGTGCTGGCCAAAACGTGCGAACAGTGATAAACATGGGCAAGCCAGGCGAGGTGCCCCGTCAGAATGCGCCTCAAGACCGGGTTGCGAAACTAAGACTCGGAATTCCCATGCCGGGTCACATCTGAAGGTTTTGTGGATGACCGGTTTGTTTTCCCAAAACGCACCCACGTAAGCCGGAAAACACGACATGCTCTAGTCTTGTCGAATTACAGTAGGCGACAGGCTGCACTACAGATCTTTTGTAGCAACGAGCAAACACCTGACAGTCAGTCATCATTACGGTCAAAGTTCATTTGGAATCAACAATTCAACGACTAGTCAACGCTGAGTACGTCAGACCGCCTGGAATCAATGGTTTCAGCGACGATCAAGGTCTGAATCCCTTCGGAGTCCACGTAAAAGATGGTCAACATTTTAACTCCCCTTCAACGACTTAAGTGACTTTGATGAAGTCCAACTTGGACTTGAAACAGTCGTATGCGGTCGCGCTTCCGGACTTGACTATCCTTGTTATACGACCGTCCTTCCTTTCAAATGCATGTTCAATCAAGCCTTTTATCGCCTTCACAAAAGTATTCACATCCTTAAAGCTGCGATCTACATTCATCGAGGTATTTTCCGGGGTTATTTAGGATGCACACCCAACGACGCACGCTGATTTCCTTACGAATGACCCGCTTCCACTATCAGTAGGTGCGAGGGAGTCAAACAGAACTGGCGAAATCCGCCAGTTTCGTGATTTGGTTCGGTTGGGAAACAACCCTCGGCGACTTCGCGATCATTTCGTAAGGTTGGGTTGGGGAGGGGATTGGCGAAATTAATTAGACAATCATGAGCAGGGAAATTACAGGCGGGGGTTGTGTTGTCACAAACTCGGAAACACACCTCGCCACTGAAGCGGAAGGCTACCTGGTTTTCAAGTGATAAACCAGAGCCTCTCCCGCCAGGTATGTAGACGACAGCTTTAAGGGCTTCAGGCTTGAGGGATAAGTACCTCTGTTTTCTTTTCATTAGCAATGCTTCTCCTCACACGCTATTGTAAATTTTGAGGACTTCAGCTGTTTCAAAATCTTCAGATGTACTCAAAAGAAAGATCTAACCTTCGCTCGACAGGAATGACTGAAATAACCGGTACACTTGACATTCCCTTTCCCATGCTTACATAAAACACCTTAACGACCCCCACAAAACCCACCAAAACCTGGACCTGCTTTTTGAGACGGTTTCCGTTCTTTCTTGCCCACGTCAGCACCACCAGCACCACCAGCAGCGGCACCAGCAGCAGCACCAGATGACACATTTTTAGAAGTACTACCAGTAGACACAGCTGTGGGCCTGGCAATAGAACCTCCCCCAGACCCACCAGATGAACCTCCCCTGGATCCACCTGCAGAAGGCTGTTGTCCTCTTCCTCTCCCCCCACCACTGCCACTGCCACTGCCACTGCCACCGCCACCGCCAGCAGCAGCAGCACCACCACGACTCCCACCACCACCACCACCGCCACCACCACTGCCACCGCCACCGCCAGCAGCAGCACCATCACCACGATTCCCACCGCCTTCCTGCCCACCCCACCCTCTTCCACTTCCCCCTCCCCTCCCCCCTCTCCTTCCCCCTCCCCTTCCCCTTCCCCCACCTCCCCGCCCTCCCCCACCTCCTCCTCTTCCTCCTCTCCAACCTCTCCCCCCTCCTCCTGCCCCAAATCCTCCCCTTCCTCCCCCCCACCCTCCACCACTCGCCCCTACTCCTCCTCCTCCCGAACCACCCTCTTCCTCTTCCTCCTCCTCCTCTTCCTCTTCCTCTTCCTCTGCTCCCCCCCATGCCGCACGGTTACCGCCTTCCCCTAGCCCGTGAATCAGCCCAGCCTCGACCCGCTTCATCTCAGCCGCTTGTGCCGCCGATCCGACGGCCACGGAGCCCTTGACCTTGTAGCTGTAATTCTTGCCGTCTTTCACATAGAATTGTGGTCCCTGGGCCTGACCTTGACCCTGTACCAGCCCCCCCTGCTGCTGCTGCTGCTGCTGCTGCTGCTGCTGCTGAGGTGGTTGATTTTTACCAAGCACCCCTGAACCAACACCAGCAGCAGCAGCAGCAGCAGCAGCAGCAGCGCGTGCAGCAAACCTCGTCCCCACCTCTTCCACCTCACTGCTCCCCGCACCCCCCGCCACGTCATACCCCTCCAGCTCATCAAATGAGTCGTCATACTCATCATCGTATTCAAACTGGGACTCAAACACAAACCGCTTCACTGCCTCCTGCTCCCTCCTGCTCCCCGTACCTGCTGCCGAACCTCGCTTCCAAACCTCCTCTTCCACTGACTCATCTTCCCTCTTGCTTCGGACGAACCTGCCAGCAGGGGCAGACGCAGCTGAAGCACCTGTAGCAGCGGCTGTAGCAGCGGCTGCAGCAGGGGCTGTAGCAGCAGCTGTGGTGGTAGTTCTTGCAACGCCTGCCCACGAGCTTCCACCCCCTCCAACCGCACTGGACCCTTCTCCTCGCAGCTGCCTCTCCACCTCTTTCTGTTGCGCCAAAACCCCTCCCCACCCCCCTGCACCCCCCCCCTCGTCCTCCTCGTCCTCCTCTCCTCCCTCTGCAACCAAAGCCTTGCCCTTTCCTTTACCTGCTGCCCCACTAACACTTGCAGCACCACTACCAGCAGCACTAACAGCAGCAGCAGCAGCAGCAGCAGCAGCAGCATCCCCCTTACTACCCCCACCAGCCTTCCCTGGCTTGACCTTCAGCTGAGTGTCTAACTTAGCTAAGTCCGGGTGTAAACTCCCCTCCAGCACATGCTGAATCACCGCCTCTGCATCTCCCCCATACACCTCCAAACACGCCCCCACAAAGCCCTCCCCAAAATCCGGGAAAATATCCCGCACGAGTGAGATCTTGGACTGCTCAAGAGCTGCTGACTCAGCATCAGCGGAGGAAGAGAGGGAGGGGGTGAGGGAGGGGAAGTCTTCTGCTGTTGGGGGGTGGTTGGCTGCGGTGGTGTTGCTGGCAGTGGATGGGTCAGAGGAGGCGGAGGAAGTGAGGGGTGGTGGCAGGGTGATTGGAGGGCCGATTATGTCGGAGATTGTATCAAACTGTGTGTTGTCGAGGGGAAGCTTGCCTGGGGAATAGGAAGGAGGACACAACACAGAAGAAAGGGAGAGAACACTGGATGAGTGCTATTTCAGCGGAACGGGGCACTGACTGAAAAAGTACAACCACACGTCAAGCTGAACACACACAGCCACACAAGAAGCTCTATGAAACACCAATTAAGACAAGAACCTTTTAAGGGATAGATATATAGCCCAACACAGAATCACACTAATCAGGACAATAACCTTTCGATACACACTATTGCCCAGTCTTTTTCCTCACCCACCTTTCATTTTCTCTTCATAGATTGCTGACCGAAGACCAAAAGAAGCATCAACTGCCCGAAGCAGAGGGATCCACGCCACACCATCCACATCTTTGCTGCCCGAGCTGCCCGAGCTTACTCCATGCACCGCAAGAATCTCTTCCAGCAGCAACTGCCCGAGATTCGTTTTCTGCCCAAGCAGCCCGTCCCACAACGGGCACCCAGATTGTTTTCCCCTGCCCGGCTTGACTCCACAATCACACACAGGACAGGGTGGCAAACCATCACTGCTGCTACCACCGTTGCTGCCCCGATTCCTGCTACCCCTGCTCCTGGTATTACCACCAGCAGCAGCAGTATTAGCACCAGCAGCACCAGCAGCAACAGCAGCAGCACGAGCACACCCCCTTCCTCCAAGACACGCTCCCCAAAGATACTTCCACGCAACTTCCTCCAGCTTCGTATGAAGAATCTTGCCCTGAACCTGCACCGCTGCTGCTGCTGCTGCTGCTGCTGCTTGCATCGGCGTTCGCTTTGCTGATAACGAGGAGTTGGAGGAGGCGAGGAGAAGGAGCAGAGGGAGAAATGAGTCGTGAATCCGAGCCAACACAGAGAGAAGCCGTACAGGAGAACTTGCTGCTGCTCCTGCTGCTGCTCGTGCTGCTGCTGCTGCGGCGCCTTGTTTTGCTTTCCTTGTAGGTGCTGTCGTTGCTGTTGCTGTGGTTGCTTGCAGGAGGAGCAGCGGTGCGGGCGGGTAGGCGTCAACGAGCGCATCGAGAGAGAAGGCAAAGTCGCAGAGGTAGTGAAGGGCTTCGATGATCTCTGATGCAGAAGCTGGCTGTGGGGAGAGCAATGGGGAGACGAGAAGGAGGCAAAGAGGGTAGGCATCAAAGAGCGCATCGAGAGAGAAGGCAAAGTCACAGAGGTAGTGAAGGGCCTCGATGATCTCCGAGGAAGGTGAAGGTTGTGAGTCTGCTGGTGATGATGCCTTGCTGTGCTGCAGACGTGCATGGGGTGGGGGAAGAAGAGCAACAGAACGATGGAGGAACACGAGAAGGAAGGAAGGACTGCCTTTTCTACCATCTCCTTATCTTCAGGGCTAGCGGGGGGCTTCCCTCGATTTCTTAGATGATAGCTTCTTCAACATTGGACATAGGGCTGCCTTATCTTCAGGGCTAGGGGGTTTTGTGAGAATTCTCAGGAACACGAGGAGGAAGGAAGGACTGCCTTTTCTTCCATCTCTGTCGCTGAAAAGAGCGTGGAGGATGGTCGAAGGACCATCTTGCGACGAACAAACTAATAACACCATGTGACCCGTACCTCCTACATCCGCCTACACGCCCGTGTCACCATCCCTTCAACCCTACACGCCTGCAGCAGCTGCAGCAGAGACAAACAAAGAACCCCCCTCTTTCCACCCTCCCCAACCCACTATTTAAAGGCTACATCCAATCCGTACCTCGTCCATCCACTTACCTCTTCCATCCACTTACCTCCTCCATCCACTTACCTCCTCCATCCACTTACCTCCACCATCCACTTACCTCCTCCATCCACTTACCTCGTCCATCCACTTACCTCCTCCATCCACTTACCTCCTCCATCCACTTACCTCCTCCATCCACTTACCTCCTCCATCCACTTACCTCCTCCATCCACTTACCTCCTCCATCCGCCCACACGCCCTCGCCACCATCTCTTCAACCACTCACAGCAGCTGCAGCAGCGACCTCGAGAGAAACCCCCTTCCCCCCTTCCCTCCCCATCTCTCTACATACCTCCATCCGCCCACACGCCCGTGTCACCATCTCTTCTACCACTCGCAGCAGCTGCAGCAGAGACGATGAGAGGTCAGCCCGGAAGAGAGGCTGAGCGACCAGCACCCGGCACACCTGGTGGAAAGAAGGAGGTGCAATGCGGTGACAAAGAATGCAGAGCAGTAAGTCAAGGCAACTTTGTCACCGTCTCTTCAATCTCCCGCAGCAGCTGCCACAGCGACGATGAGAGATCGCCTCGGAAGAGAGGCTGAGCGACCAGCACCCGGCACACCTGGTGGTGGGGAGAGGTGCAATGCGGTAACAAAGAGTGTGGAGCAGTAATTGATGCATTTTTCATCTCCTCAACCACTCGCAGCAGCTGCAGCAGTGAAGACGAGAGATCGGCTCGAAAGAGAGGCTGAGAGACCAGCACCCGGCACACCTGGTGGTGGAGGGAGGTGCAATGCGGTGACAAAGGGTGCAGAGCAGTGACGGATGCATTTAGTCTGTTTGTACCCACACGATCCACATCCACCATCAGAAGCAGCAGAGAAAAGAAACGGTGCAATGCGGTGAAGGGGTTAGGGAAGAACACTCCTATAGACTCACCAGCTGCTGCGTTGCAGCTGGGTTGGCCCTCCCAAAGACAGCAGCAGAAGAAGAGGTGCAATGCGGTGAAGAGAGGCACGTGCATCACGTTCAAACAGACTCACCAGCTGCCGTGTTGCGGCTGGGTTGGCCTTCCCAAAGACAGCAGCCACGTCCATTAGCTTTGGTGCATCGAATAGGCGCATGGAGAGGAGGAGGTCTGAGAGGAAGAGTGGGGGAAGAGGCGAGACGAGAAGAGGAAAAGGGTTTTCCTTCCCAAAGGTAGCAGCCACGCCCATGAGCTTGGGTGTGTCGGACGGGGCGCATGGAGAGAAGGAGGCATGAGCAAAGCGGAGAGAGGAGAGGGAGGAGGGAAAGGGAAGTATTTAGTTGTTTTCCAGGAATGACATGACATGGCATGACATTTGTTGAAAGTTATGGAATTTGAAGGCATAGCGTTGCCATGGCATAGCGTTGTGGCATAGCGTTGCGAAGGCATAGCGTTGCTAAGGCACAGCATTGCAAAGGCACAGCATTGCAAAGGCACAGCATTGCAAAGGCACAGCATTGCAAAGGCACAGCATTGCGAAGGCATACATACGTGCATGGTCCTTGGCTTGAAGCTGCTCTGATGGTTTGGCTCTGGACTCGATATTAGACGACCTGATAGTGGCACGCAGGGGAGAAATAACCGGATCAAGGGGAGGAAAATGCGAGCGAAAAAAGGAAAAAAAGAAACACATGAAGGAATAGAGTTGCACAGGAAAAGGGAAGAGGATCGTACAAGAGTACACATGAAGACACACCCTCTGAGATACGAGCTGGTTTTTGAGAATTTCAAAAACCACAGGAGAAGGGAAGAGGATCGCACAAGAGTACACATGAAGATACACCCTCTCTGAGATACGTTTTGAGACGTCTCAAAAGTTTTGAGACGTCTCAACACAAGAAAAGGGAAGAGGATCGCACAAGAGTACACATGAAGATACACCCTCTCAGATACGTACGCGCTTGTGATGTGACACTCACAAGCGTAGCACACAGAGTCACATGCACCGCAATATATACATGCTGACGCACACGGCAACACACACTCACATGCGCAGCAGCAGCAGGAACACCAGCCGACACAACTCCTCATCCCCCACCACCACTCCCCTCCCTGTCCCCACACTCCCCTCTCCTCCTCCCACCCCCCCATCCACTCCGCCTGCTCCTGATGTTCTTGATTTTCCACCGGCTTCAGCAACAGCAGCGGCGGATAGAAGGAGATCGAACCATCGCGAGCGGAAGCGGAGGTACGAGTCGAGAAAGGCCACGAGCGAGGGCGAGCGGGCAACTGGGATGGGGAGAAACAGAGTGTTGGGATTCAGGGATAGTAGGCAAAAGGGGGCTGGGCAAAAGGGTAGGCGCACGGGTACAGGGTGGGATGCCCATACGCATGTGTGTGCACACACACGCACCCACACGCACCCACACACACACACACACATCCACACACACACACACACACACACACACACACTCCCCCACCCACACCACACCCCACCACCCCCCTTCCCCCCCCCTTCCCCACCCACCCCACACACACTCACGTACCTGTTTTCCAGAACTGCTTAGCTGGCAATCTCAGCATCTCTCGGAGCCTCTCCACCGTCCGATCAACCATCCTCTGAGTCTCCCCCGAATCCACGCCTGCCAGACCTGCTGCCGAACCTCCCACCAAGCCTCCCTCCGAACCTCCCTCCAAGCCTCCGTCCAAACCACCCATCCTGCACACTCCACCTGCCAGGATCTCATCCTGTGGCAGATACGACAAAAACGGCTCCTCCTCCTCCTCTGGAGCTGCTGCTACAGCCATTGGTGCTGCTGCAGGCGCTGCTACAGCCGTTGATGCTGCAGGCCCTGCTACAGCCGTTGATGCTGCAGGAGCTGCTACAGCCTGGGGTGGTGCGAATCCAGGAGGGGCTCTTACAGAAGCAGCCTGTAACGAGGATGAGCCAAAACCCGGCGGAAAAGCGGGAGAGGCGGAAGCGGATGGTTGGGAGGGGGAGGGCCCGAAACCGGGAGGGATTGCAAGGCCAGACGAACCAGCTGTAGCAGCTGTAACAGCGGCTGCTGCAGGGGGTGTAGCAGATGTAGCAGCGGCAGTAGCAGCTGTTGATTCTACCGGATTCGTCCGCTTTTCAAATCCAGGGGGCACTGAGGGAGCATGTGGGGCTGTTCCTAAAATTCCTGCTCTGCCCGTTGCACCCAAATTGTGCCCGTCAATTAACTGCGACTGTTGCATATGTTGCCCGTGCGCTGGGTAATCAATCTGTTGCTCTAATTGTTTTTCCCCCTGCTGCTCCGCCTGCTGTTGGTAATTTCTTCCCCCTCGTCCGCCCCCTCCGCCCCATCTTCCGCCAAACCCTCCGCCTCCCCGTCCTTGTCTTCCGCCTCCGCCGTCCCCCCCCCAGCCGCGCTGATCCCCTCCCCCATACCTTCCGCCGCTTCCGCCCCGTCCCCCTCTCCCTCCGCCACCCCAGCCTGACGCGTCCCCGTCACCCCTTCCGCCTCTTCCCCCTCCGCCTGTTCCCCCTCTGCCTGTCCCCGCGCCGTCCCCCCAACTGTCTCCCGCATACACCCCTCCGCCACCCCTCCTTCCGCCTCCACGTCCGCGGCCTCCGCCGCCGCCCCCCCGCGGGCGCCACTCACGGCCTCCGCCACCCTCCTCTCCGCCTTCCATGTTTCGAGGTGAGCGGGAGGTTCGGAAATAAGGTCAGCAGTATTGCTGATCCAGATGGATGTGACTATACGCGGATCAAGCTGGTGTCCGTAAGTCGCGAAACTTCGCTAATAGATCAGGCACGGGAAACACGCGTGACCCTGCCAGTTCACATTAGGGACTACGGACCAGAAACCAGGAATGTATGTAATCTACCGTATTTGGGAAAACACTACCGAACTAGATCCTTACCCCAAAATTTGCGTAATTCCCGAGGTCTGTTGGGTTGGGGGAAGCAGCACTCACGTAATCCCCTAGGCCCTTGCTGGTCGACGAATTCAACGAATTTTGTCCCCGATAAACGTTGAGTCCTCACAATTGAAGTCGTTACACTTTTTTATATCCCGGCTACTTGATATAGATTCAGCAAGAAGCTAAGGATTGAGGACTGGTAAATAAATTGGTGATTGCTTGTAGTAGAGAACGTTACACCATGTAGCGAACAAACATTGCACTACACCGAGCTACACCCCCATCATCTTGCCATATTGCCAACCATGGCTCGTCCCCTCCACACCTGCCTTTCATCCACCAATCTACCTCCACCATTCCCCCCATAACCACCATCGCCATAAGCACCAGGGCCATACACCCCATTCCCATACCCTCCGTTCCCATAACCCCCAGGAGCACCATTCATACCACCTCCGTACCCCTCATAATACCCCTCATCCTGATAATCATCCTCCTCAGAATCATACTCGTTATAGTCATCCTCATCATCATCACGCCACCTCTCCGACGGCAGCTCTTCCGGAAGCACATATCCCGCCGCCTCGGCGTTCCTCAGGCCAGTGGCAGTGCAACACGTGGCAAGCCCAAACAGGGCTGAAGCGGCCGACCAGAGGGTCGAGGTTGTAGCAGGAGGGGCAGCGGCTGTAGCAGCCGCTTCTGCTGTAGCCACCTTCCCTGTTCCTGCACCTGCTTTACCCGAAACTCCTCCTCCTTTCCCAGAGGCTGATCGAGACACCATCATCTGCTGCTGCGAGGGATGGAACGGCGGCTGCTGCTTCCCACTCCTGCTCATCTTCCCCCCTCCTCCTCCTTCTCCTCCCCTTCCGCTCATTCCCCCCATTCCCCCCTTTCCAGGAGCAACCATCACTCCTCCCTCGCCCTTATACCTCCCGCCTCCCGCTCTCGCTCCATTCACCCGCCGCCCGGAAACCCTTCCATACCCGTCCATCCTCCCAACCACAGGAACCGGCCCGGCAAACCGCTGCATCTCATTGGGCGGGAACGGGGCGGCATAATACGGCAGCAGCGGAGGATTCCCCACAGGAACACCCACAAGCCTGCCACCCTTTCCCCCCACCATCGGCCCATACCCTGGCACAGCACCATAGGCAGGGTGGGGAGGGGGAGGATAGGCGTGACCATACTGCCCTGGGTACATTCCTCCTCCTGGTCCGCCAGAGTGAGCAGCAGCAGAGAGCGCAGCAGAGGTGCGGGCACGCAGGGACACTAACGCCTGCTCTAGAGTCGCCATGGCTTGGAGCACGTCCGGGGTCAGGGCAGGATCGGCAGCACCGGAGCTAGCAGAGCCAACCACGGGGTTACCACCTGCACCAGTCCCACCTGCGCCTGCCAGCGCGGCTGCTGCTGCGAAGGCTGCAGCGATAGCCGGGTCTTGGGATGAGAACGGGGCGTACGCAGGAGGAACAGGAGGATGAGGGTGCTGCTGCTGCTGGTGCTGGTGGTGGTGGTAAGCAGGAGTCTCTGAGTCTTCCAGGGTAACGAGAAGCTGACCCTCTGCATCCTCAAACACCTCCTCTTCATCATCATCTGCACGACTCACTGCCGCTGCTGATTGTGCACCTGCTGGATCCGCAGCAGCGGCAGCTGCTGCAGCAGCTGCAGATGCAATGGCAGGTCTACGTGCCTCCCTAGGAGCTCCCTCCACAAACGACGCTGTAGCCACCAGAACCTTCTTTTCCTCCTCCACCTCTTCCCCTTCCTCTCCCTCCACCCCCGTCTCTCCCAACCCATTCTCACCCATCCCCAATCCTCCAGCCGCCTTTGCCCTGTACGCGTCCATAGCCGCTTCAATACGCCCATACAGCTTCTCCTCTTTCAGAACCTTCCTAAACTCCACTCCCTTCTGCCCCTCATCGGCCAAATCCGTCTCAACCTCCTTCCTAAACAGATTGAACAGCACCCCTCCGAACTCCTTGGTAACGAAGTTAACCACCATCGCTGGGAGCTTCAGATCGCACGTGAAGATCGACCGGAAGTGGCAGCGTGAACGGCCCAGATCTTTGATGGAGAATCCGCCGTTGATCGCCATGCGGACCATTCCCGAGGGGACTGGCGGCGTAATGTCGCGGGAAAAGCCGTGAATGGATGGGTGGATTTCGCTGTTGTCCTCTGGAAGCTGGGTATTGGAAGGGTGAAGGGAGCAGGGAGCGGGGGGATAGAGAGTGGGGGGTGAGTGAGCTGTGTGGGTTACAAATCGCGGGAAACCCCGTGAATAGAGAGGCTGATTTCGCGTATTTATTTCTTTAGCTCACGCACACACACTCACCGTGCGGACGACAGTGGTGGCGACGCCCGTGTCCGAGTCGTAAATGGTAAAGAAAATCATCGCGAACTCCTGCCATGGAAAGGGCCACGGCACCTTGAACCTGGGGGTTGGGGGAGGGAGGGATGAGCGGGGAGCGAAGGAGAGGAGAGGAAAGCAGAAGGAAGAAGGGAGCTCGTGGTTAGCTTGCGGGTTGACGGGGACGGGTAGAGAAGATGGCTTTGGTGCTTTGATTAACAGAAGTCTCTGCAGCCTAGCGATAAACTCATTTCGTGTAACGAACTACTCACTTCAGCTACCAATATACTCACTTCATGTAGGTAATATCGAAGCCGTCACCGACGCGCGCGAGGTACCGGTTCTCCACAATGCGGTAAACAGGCATGTCGCCCTGCTCGCTTCATGTACCTGTATCTATCGATATACTCACTTCATGTAGCAGTATCTATCGATATACTCACTTCATGTAGCAGTATCTATCGATATACTCACTTCATATAAGTGATGTCAAAACCATAGCCCACGCGCGCGAGGTACCGGTTCTCCACGATGCGGTAGACGGGCATGTCGCCCTGCTCGCTTCATGTACCTGCATCTATCGATATACTCACTTCATGTACCTGCGTCTATCGATATACTCACTTCATGTACCTGCGTCTATCGATATACTCACTTCATGTACCTGCGTCTATCGATATACTCACTTCATGTACCTGCGTCTATCGATATACTCACTTCATGTACCAGCCCGTATCCATCGATATACTCACTTCATGTACGTGATGTCGAAGCCGTCGCCGACGCGCGCGAGGTATCGATTCTCCACGATGCGGTAGACGGGCATGTCGCCCTGCGGCCACCACTCCTTGAAGAACCCCGCGTCGCGCGTCATGGCGACGGCGGCGTGCACGGGGCTGTCGATGCGCCCCTCCATGCACAGCGCGTTTATCGCCGTGCCCTCCGGGCCCTTGCGCAGCATCGCGCGGTGCTCCGGACCCTCCTCGCACATCTGCGGGGGAAGCATGGACAAGCAGATAGCGATAAATACGGGGTGATGAAATGCAGACATCAAACGCTTCGCGTTGTAGTGGCGCAATCCGAGAGTTTCTAGTAATCGTTTCAACGGCTAGGGAAGAAGGAAGAACCTTCGATGTGGGCTTTTCACGATTCAAAACACGGCAAGGAGTGGAAACAAGAAAGTACCTTCCACGCATTGCGGTCCGCAGGGTCGGTAGTTGCGAGAGCCTCCACGCTGACGCTCTTAAGATCCTCCAGAAGCTTAACGGTCTCCGCAGCCCAATAGTCCGCCACGCTGTTGCGCGATCCACCTGCTGCAGCTGCTGCTGCTGAGCCGTTTTTTACGTCGAGCTGCTTGCTTATAAGAGCCGTGACTTTATCGAGGTCTTTCCACGTCGGCTCATCCAGAGCCTGATCGAGTAGGTCGATGCCTTCCACTAGCGCCATGGCTTGGCTTTTTCCTTCGTAGAATTGTTAAAACGGCTTCCCTCCCGTCCTGCGCTACAGAAAATAAGTTACCGTTGTGGGAATCCTACGTTGCTCCGAGTCCAGTTTCAAGGTTGTATTTCGCAGTTCGTACAATCGTGAATGAGAATTCGCCTATTATCGTCCTAAGCAGGGGAAATTATACGCGCAGTCACAATTATGGCCGTATTATCACGTTTGGTCACGGGGTTATCACGGACAGTCACAGTACAGTACTTCGCTATCACGCATGATCACAGCGCTATCACGCTTGATCACTCCTCGCCCCGCAGGGTTATCACGTTTGGTCACTCGTTGAAACGCCCGCCAAAAAGTCGAAACTCTCAAATCTACTGTACAAATTCGGGTACTTTTATCTCGCGCGCGTTTTGTCTGTAGTGAAAAACGTGATGTGACTGTCGAAATATACTCGGTCCTTGTTAGGGACCGATGCAGTTTAATGCAGAGTCCGCATTTTGCAGTGAATATACGCGATCAATAGCAGTTTCGATTATATAATCACTCTTCTCTTTGTAATTGATACCTTGACATTATGTTTTGCACACGTAGTAATAAATAACCCAATTACACAATGTCATTTGCATATCAACCACCAGTCAAACTTGGATTTGAGTAGGCATACGATATGGTGAATTAAACAAGCTACAGGGAGGGAGGTATCAGAGGTAATTCTCCCTCTAGCGAGCGCTTGCCTGCAAGCTAACGTAAAGGGCAAGAGTTTACATTATATCATTTGATTGTTGCCTCTGTAAACCCTTGCCCTTTACGTTAGCTTGCAGGCAAGCGCTCGCTAGAGGGAGAATTACCTCTGATACCTCCCTCTCTGTAGCTTGTTTAATTCACCATATCGTATGCCTACTCAAATCCAAGATTGACTGGTGGTTGATATGCAAATGACATTGTGTAATTGGGTTATTACTGCATGTGCAAAACATAATGTCAATGTATCAATTACAAAGAGAAGAGTGATTATATAATCGAAACTGCTATTGATCGCGTATATTCACTGCAAAATGCGGACTCTGCATTAAACTGCATCGGTCCCTAACAAGGACCGAGTATATTTCGACAGTCACATCACGTTTTTCACTACAGACAAAACGCGCGCGAGATAAAAGTACCCGAATCTGTACAGTAGATTTGAGAGTTTCGACTTTTTGGCGGGCGTTTCAACGAGTGACCAAACGTGATAACCCTGCGAGGCGAGGAGTGATCAAGCGTGATAGCGCTGTGATCATGCGTGATAGCGAAGCACTGTACTGTGACTGTCCGTGATAACCCCGTGACCAAACGTGATAATACGGCCATAATTGTGACTGCGCGTATAATTTCCCTCCTAAGCAGTCCCGCAGTGGCTAGCAGACGGATCACCTGTGAGAGTGAGGGTCCTCAACAATCAATGGTCGACTTTTGTATCAATGGCTTGGAAGGAACTTGAAGGCACAACTGGGCAAGGTGGGTGGTTGGTCAATATAAACTAGCATGTGTCGCCTTGGTTTCATTTCATCCCTATGGTGGGCGTGGGAGAACCTTCTCAGGCCTTGTCTCAAAACACTGCCGGTGGAGGAACCTGGGAGCCGCACAGTAATTCCTAGGCCTTTTCTCCGCTGTACAAACAGATATTTGTGTGGTGATACCTAGGTAAAATAGAGTGTACTTAATTAAGTGTGCTAGTTACCACGTTATTTGCTGAACTGACACATTCTCACACCTACATAGTGTAGTTCAGATTGACCAAACAGACCAGAGTAGCGGTGGGATGGCGACAAGGGACCGAGACTGGGCAGACCTGGATGGACGACTAGGCTCGGTCGAAAGACAGTGCGACATGTGCGACCCTTGAAGGGTGGCAACAACGTACCCAAACCGAGCGTCGTGCGTGAATTACCAATCACAAAAAACCTTGTTTCGCTACGTATGGAGACAGCGGTGGCGGTGGCGAGGTGAGGTGAGGTGAGGCTAGGCGAGGCGGTGTGGTTCCGAACCTTTGATTCAAAACAAAGCACCTAGCTTTCGCGCCGTTAGCATCGAATCGCGTTTATTTCACACGCATCGCGCCGTAAACAGTGATGCGGTTCACCCCACCGGCCTATGAATGCGGAGTACGCGATTTGAACGACTTCAGGGTATTGATTCGATGATGCATTAAAACGTAAACAAAAATGTCATATAAGCACAAAGAGACTGCCTAGAGCACATGTTTCCATTAACATTGACATGTTGAGCAAGCCTGCACATCATGTGTGCTTCAAGTTTTGTAGCTCTAGCTTTGATGAAAGTTTCCCTTCAACACGCCGTATACTTATTCAAAGGTATAAATAATTACTCAAACAAAGCATTGGTTCATATTCTCATGTAAGGCAAAGCGCCGTGCCTATATGTGCTTACTAGCGCAAGAAAACCTCATCCCTAGGAATCTCTTGCCGATTCTGGACAGGGAAACCCTCTTCCCACCTCCATCCCTCCGCTTCCCTGCTTTATTAACACTATCTTCAACACATCCCGGTGATGCATCTTTGTCGCACCCATCCGCTGTGTGTGGAATCTCATCACCTGACTCACCTGCAAACTTGACAGGTCGTGCAGCAGACTTGCCCGGCCCCATAGAACTGCCCAAAAATGAATTAATCTCCGTATCCCCATCGACCACCACCGTCGTTTCTTCACCCTTCGCCCCAGTTGCAGCAGTCACGCTTGTGACATGCTTCTCATGCTTGGCATTGCCTTGATTGTCTGAAGAACCCGCTTCTGCTGCTGCAGCTGCCGCCCGTGCACGCACGAATAGAATCGCCTTATCCAGCGTCGCAACCGCCCGGAAAATTGCGGGGTCTCTGTGATAAAGCCCGGGGTAACTGCTCGGACTGCTGCTACCGCTGCTGCTCTGGCTGCTGCTCCCGCTGGCACTGGCACTGTCACCGCAAGCAAAGGAGCTTCTGCTGCTGGTGACGCTGCAACTGCTGTTGAGCATATCTGGAATTTCACCTGCCCGAATGTTAGCAATGACACCATAGCTGCTGCTGCTGGTGCTGCCAGTAACGGTTCGGATGCTTGGAAGCGGCCCCGAGCGTACAGAGGAGGACTCCCGAAGCAGGCTCCCCATGCCCTCTCCAGCTTCCAGACCTCCATGCCGAGCCAAAGGCAGAGGTCCGGAAGAAAAGGACTGGGTAACGGAGCTGAAGGAAGTGGAAGCACTGGGAGGGCCCTCAGCAGCATTAGCTGCAGCTGATGCGGCAGAAGCAGCAGCTAGAATCGTTGCAGCAGCAGCAGATGCTTCACTTGCTCCCAATCCGTTCCCGGACCTGCTTCCGGACCTGTCCCTAGACTGCGATCCAAGAGGTTTGACGGAAGGTCGAGTCAGCGCTACAGCTGAAGCAGCAGCGGCCTCCAGCTGTAGCAGAGCCTTCTCTGCCTCCTCAGGCCCAAGTGTACTCTCCCTCTTAGATAAAGACGAAACAAGCCGCTCCACCTCCTCCTCCACCTTCTCACCCAATTTTCTCAACGACCTACCCTCCTCCTCACTCCCTTCCCTCCTCCTCCCCTCCTCCTCCTCCTCCTTACCCCGTCTATACTCCTCCATCGCTTTCCTCAGACCCACATAGACTGGATCAGAGGCCAGAAGTTGCTGAAACGCCCCACGCCCGTTCTTCTTGTCACATTTCAGTGATTTCACACCAGCAGCAGCAGTGGCGGCGGTGGCTTTAACGTTGGTGTCCACTTCGTGGCAGAGCAGGTGGTAACCAGAGCCGGCTAGTTGCCGGGCGACGAAATTGATGAGCCATGGGGGCATGAGGTCGAATTTCATATCCAGCGTGCATGCACCGCTGTAAAGAGGGGGAGAGGGGGGGGAGGGGGTTCAGGGATAAGAGGGGTGAAGGGGTTGTTGGTGGTAACCAGAGCCGGCTAGTTGCCTGGCGACGAAATTGATGAGCCATGGGGGCAAGAGGTCGAATTTCATATCCAGTGTGCATGAACCACTGTGAGATGGGGAGGAAGGGGTTGGGAGGGAATGGGGCAGAGAGGAAGGAATGTAGGGGTTGGGTTGTTGCGGTGGCTTTGACGATTGTGTCTACTTTGTGACAGAGCAGGTGGTAACCAGAGCCGGCTAGCTGCCTGGCGACGAAATTGATGAGCCATGGGGGCATGAGGTCGAATTTCATATCCAGTGTGCATGCACCACTGTGAGATGGGGAGGAAGGGGTTGGGAGGGAATGGGGCAGAGAGGAAGGAATGTAGGGGTTGGGTTGTTGCGGTGGCTTTGACGATTGTGTCTACTTTGTGACAGAGCAGGTGGTAACCAGAGCCGGCTAGCTGCCTGGCGACGAAATTGATGAGCCATGGGGGCATGAGGTCGAATTTCATATCCAGTGTGCATGCACCACTGTGAGATGGGGAGGAAGGGGTTGGGAGGGAATGGGGCAGAGAGGAAGGAATGTAGGGGTTGGGTTGTTGCGGTGGCTTTGACGATTGTGTCTACTTTGTGACAGAGCAGGTGGTAACCAGAGCCGGCTAGCTGCCTGGCGACGAAATTGATGAGCCACGGAGGCATGAGGTCGAATTTCATATCCAGCGTGCATGCACCACTGTGAGATGGGGAGGAGAGGGAGGGAATGGGGCAAAGACAGGAAGGGTGAGGGTATGTTGTTGGTGCTGGTGGCACTTTCAGAGGCAACGAAGGCGATGAGCCACAGGGGATGCAGAAACAACGCCAGGAGCAACAACAGTAGCTGCAGCCGCCCCCCAGGTCCTGCCTCGCAAGTTGCAGAAATAACGCCAGGAATAACAGCAGTGGCAAGGCGTACCCCTCGAGCTTCTCAAGAGCCCAAGCTTACCGGAAGTAGCAGCGGCCGCCCCCCAGGTCCTGCCCTGCCTCAACCATTCCGGATTTGCCCCTGACAAAGCACACACACACGGGGCGAGGGCATGCTTCTCAAGAGGGAAAGCTTACCGGAAGTAGCAGCGGCCGCCCCCCAGGTCCTGCCCTGCCTCAACCATTCCGGATTTGCCCCTGACAAAGCACACACACACGGGGCGAGGGCATGCTTCTCAAGAGGGAAAGCTTACCGGAAGTAGCAGTGGCCGCCCCCCAGGTCCTGGCCTGCAAAGCCGCCGCCCACAGTCATGCGCACACAGCCCGGCGCCACAGAGGGGATGGCGGAAGGGTGCAGGGCTGCTGTCTCTGGGTCCATGTGTGATATGTCGTCAGGTGGCTGGGGGAAAGGGGAGAAGGGAGGGGAGGAGAAGCCGGGGGGGAGGGAGGGAGGGAGGGGGGTAGGTTTGAGGGTTGGGAGGTACAGTCATGCGCGCAAAGCCAGGTGCAGGTGGCATGGCGGGGGGATCCAGGGCTGCTGTCTCACCATCCATGTGCGATACGTCGTCTGGTGGCTGGGGGAAGGAGGAGAAGGGAGGGGAGGAAAAGCGGGGGGGGAGGGAGGGGGTTAGGTTATAAGGGGGAAGGGGAGGGTTGGTGGTGGTGGTGGTATTATGCAACATAAAGGCGAGGACTAAAAGGGCGTGTCTTTCTTTTCCACCAATGAGTAGTGAACTCGCTCCCCCCACGACTCACCCGAGAGGACCTATGCTCACCCAACCCAACGCACGAGCACAACACGGGCGGGGCAGCGGGCGATTTTTGAGACGTCTCAAAACTTTGGAGACGCCTCAAACGTAGTGAAGTCGCTCCCCGCACGACTCACCCGAGAGGACCTATGCTCATCCAACCCAACGCACGAGCTCGACAAGGGCGACGGGCGATCCTTACCAGCAACAAAATCGAACGACACACAATGGCACCCACACACACACACACACACACACACACGCACACACACACACACACACACACACACACACACGCATGCACACACACGCACACGCACACGCACACGCACGCGCACACGCACACGCACACGCACACGCACACGCACACACACACACACACACACACACACACACACACACACACACACACACACACACGCACACTGAGAGCACTACCGAAAGCACCACCATTCAGTCAGCAAGAGCACCACGACTCAACTCACCGAGAGCACGGAGGCAACAAAGAGGCCCGTGGCAGTGTCGTGAAGCATGAAGGCGAAGACTAGCGCATGTGCTCTGCTCTGCAGCTTCCAGAGTGCATTCCCGTACTAAGTGCACACTAACCACTGCCTAAACCACTCACCGAGAGCACGGAGGCAACAAAGAGACCCGTGGCAGTGTCGTGAAGCATGAAGGCGAAGACTAGCGCATGTGCTCTGCTCTGCAGCATGAGACGTGGCTCACTCGCCACGTCACAGCCCGCATCAGTCAGCAAGAGCACCACCACTCACTCACCGAGAGCACGGAGGCGACAAAGAGGCCTGTGGCAGTGTCGTGAACCATAAAGGCAAAAAAGAGCAGCTCTCGCGTGGCAAAGGGCCATGGCGACCTGAACCTGCGGGGCGGGACAGGAGGTAAAGGAAGAGTGGGAGGCAAGGAGAGGTATGAGGTGAAGGGCCAGAGATCAACCTACTGAGGCCAAAGCATGACTCGCTAGCTCGGTTTCGGCATCACCCCTGACTCGCTGTAGGCATCGCCACAACCCGCTATAGGCGTCACCATGAATCACTGTGACTCGCTATAGGCTGCAGTAAGCATCACCATGACTCACTGCAGGTAGCTGAGCTCTAGCCCCGGTGCGATGCGGTGGGCGAATTTGGACTCTACTGGAGCAATCATTATTGAGTCCGACTCATAAATGAATGACTCACTGCAGGTAGCTGAGCTCTAGCCCCGGAGCGATGCGGTGGGCGAATTTGGACTCTAGCACCTTGAAGGGCGGCACGCTGAACTGTGGCCACCTGCACGGGATGACGTGGCATGGGGTAACGTGGCATGAAATGACGTGGCATGGAAAGACGCAACATGCTTCACGGGTGCGAAACGGATAAGATGGCGATACGATGCTGTGCATGACGCCAAATTCTAGGCAATTCGATGAGTTGTTTGAAACCAACGAGAGTGGGACAGGGTGAAAGTGAGTGCCAAGTGGGAGTGAGTGGTGGGACGGGGAGAGAAGAAAAAGTGGATATGGGGGGACGAGAGGATGGAAGGGGGAAGGGGAGGGGAGGTTCTGTGGGGGAAAAGCGGGAAGGAGGGTATGGATGGGCTGGGGAAGACGGAGAGGGGAAAGGGGGGCAGTAGGAGGGGAAGTTGGTTGGACTCTAGCACCTTGAAGGGCGGCACGCTGAACTGTGGCCACCTGCACGGGATGACGTGGCATGGGGTAACGTGGCATGAAATGACGTGGCATGGAAAGACGCAACATGCTTCACGGGTGCGAAACGGATAAGATGGCGATACGATGCTGTGCGTGACGCCAAATTCTAGGCAATTCGATGAGTTGTTTGAAACCAACGAGAGTGGGACAGGGTGAAAGTGAGGGCCAAGTGGGAGTGAGTGGTGGGACGGGGAGAGAAGAAAAAGTGGATATGGGGGGACGAGAGGATGGAAGGGGGAAGGGGAGGGGAGGTTCTGTGGGGGAAAAGCGGGAAGGAGGGTATGGATGGGCTGGGGAAGACGGAGAGGGGAAAGGGGGGCAGTAGGAGGGGAAGTTGGTTGGGCACATGGATTTGAAGAGATGGCAAGAGTTGGTTGTTCTTACCAGTCCTTGAAGAACGGGACTTCCCACACCACCGCCAGCACTGCACAAGGGAACACGGACAGTCGAGGGAGAGATGGGGGGAAGAGTTGGGCCGGCAGGAAACGAAAAAGGTGCGATCAGCGAACCCACTGATTTCACTCTCACTTCACACACGTGTCAACAACGGAAGAGAGCAGACACGTGGCAGGGTGCAGCACGTACAGGTGTCAAGAGGGCCGTTGATGATCCCTTCCAGGCAGATCTCGTGCAGCGGCGTGCCCTCGGGGCCCTTGCGGTACAGCACTCGGTGCTCCTTCCCCTCCTCCTTCAACTGTACAATGGGCAACGGGGGTGAGGGCGAAGGGAGACGGAAGAAAGGGGGGAATGGTTTAGATGTCTAGGCACATCCCTCCTGGCCCTTGCGGTACAGCACGCGGTGCTCCTTCCCCTCCTCCTTCAACTGTGCGATGGGCGAAGGGAGACGGGGGGAGGGAGGGAACGGTATAGATGTTTAGGCACATCCCTCAGGGCCCTTGCGGTACAGAACTCGGTGCTCCTTTCCCTCCTCCTTCAACTGCGAAACAGGAGCCATGGAAAGCCGAAGCGGGAAGACCTAGATTAGATGTTTAGGCAGGCAGTGCCCTCAGGGCCCTTGCGGTACAGCACTCGGTGCTCCTTACTCTCCTCCTTCCGTTGCCCTTCCCCGCTTGCCGGTCGTTGCTTACCCGCCATTGTCGGTCGTCGCCGCAATCCACGCCGTCTTCCCGGATACTCTCGTTGCTCAGCGCGAGCGACTCCAGATTTGCCTCTCCCGCGGTGCGCAGGCTGTCCAACACGTCGATTAACTCGCGCGTCCGCGCCTCGACCACCTTCTCCGAGAAGGGCGCGCGACGCGCCGGCTTCCCAGCGGCATCGTCGCCAGCACCGGCTGTGTTGGAGCCCGGAAGAACATTCCCCTTATTGGATTCCCCGAGAATGTTGCCGTTTGGGCCGGGACCGGTGCTGACATTTTGCTCCTCGCAATCCGTTACTGCGCGAAGGCATCCGGAAATTGGTATAAAAATGCCCAGGCGCAAGTGCAGGCGGGACGCAGGGGAAAGGGGGAAGAAAGAGAAGGGGGGAAGAGGACGGATGAGGCGGAAGGGAAGGGGGTAAGGGGTTGGAGGAGGAGCGCAAGAGACTTGGGAAGGCTATACCAATCGCCACAGCTTGTTGCGATTGGCGAATGGGACACATGCTGGTTACCATTCTACATTGGTTGCCTGACTAGTGGATGGCGACGCAAGCTCTCGGACATTGCTGCTAGTAATCGGTCTCTCGTAGCCGTCCTTGGTTTCGCAAATAAATGTTGGGAATCTCGCACAACCTACTCGAAATTTGACGACGCGTCTCGGGAGCTGCTACCCACCTCACTCGTAGGTTTCCACGCCTCGCACTCCTCGACGCGACGCAGCCTAAAAATCGCTGAAAGTTCACTAGCAATATTCGAGAACATTCTTCAGTAGTCACTGATCTCTTGCACATTCGGAAGATAGGTAGATGATATATTGCAATTCTCGGATCGCGGTCACTACCCCAAAAACGTATCCGAAACACGAGACTGATTACTGAAGGCGCTCTAAGCCGAAAACGACGCCACAGTTACCAGAAGTACGACATCGAGGAGCCCGTCGAGCCTGATTGTTTTGCGCCAGCGTCATTGATCCCATTCTGGCCCGCGATTTGTACCGCGAGACGTCTTTTCATCACGTTTCTTTATTTTATTTCCTCCGCTATTTACTTATTGGGGGTAAGCATAGGTGGCGCCTGGCAGCAGCAGCAGCAGCAGTTTACATCTCTATTACTGGGAATGACGAAATCGACTTAAAGACGTCTCAATCTTCGTACGTACCCAGATGGCGCCTGACAGCAGCCGCGACGGCATCGCGATCCGTCCACGCAGGCGATGCGAGCGACCTATCGAGGGCCTGACGCGCTTCTAAGAACGACATCGGAGACCACGTCACGCTTTTCAAGGCGCCTCAAAAACCAAGTCACACGCTCGAGATTGGGGAGTCGAATTCGCCTGTTTAAACTAAAATCCGGGACGAAGAAATGGAGCGGAACAGGGTCACAGTGTGTGGACTACACTGCAGCTCTGGAGAAAATCACGCCTGAATTGATGCAGCGCAAGTGTGTCTTCAGTCGCAATTCTAGACTGATGCACTACTGTACTTCCTGGAAGACACACCTTGTCCGCAGGAACCACAGAAATCAGTCGCTGAGAGACTTGTTAGGAAGAGGAAGAGTGGAAAATCGAAGAAAAATCAGCAGATTCTCCTTGCACGGAGCAGAATACACACTAGGTAGCTGCCTTGATTGTGACTGCCAAGCTGTGAGAGCGAAGCTGCTTCTGGTGCAGTGGTGTGTTTGGAGAGCGGAGAAATCCACGGGGCAGAATCGTCATGCGATTTCATCCACGGCTGTCCTCGGCCCGCTTATTCGTTTGACTTCGGCCGGAACGAGACGGGACCGGACGGGATTCCCAAAACGGTTAGGCTCGGGACGGGAGGGAATGCATCATGCCTGAATGACGACAGGTTTGGGCGAGCCGGGATTACGGGTACGAGATCTTGTGGCTGGGCTTTCGGCTCAGAATCAGAAGAAAAGGGTGCTTCATTCTGAAAGTGAATTTGGTCCGTGCGATTTTAGTCACCACGTTCGGCACGAGACGAAATGTGCCAGATGAATCTGGCCCGTCAAATGCGACGCGCCAATCGCGATGCATACGCCAGTCTCGAAAACCGAGCAGCCAACTGGTTTGTCGGTGTGTGCGTGCAGGGGGGCTGGCAGATTTTTCGGTTCCTAGTGAAATTGCCGAATCGTGGAAAGCCCCAAATTCAACCGCCAACGGTCGGGATTCCCGCTCACATATCTACAATCATAAGCGTACTTGATTCTTGCAATCTTCATAAATCCGCATTGACATAATTCCCATTGTGTTCGGGATTAAAGCGTAACAGCTTATAGTGACTTACTGTACATGTCTTCCTGGCAAATCGCCTGGCTAAACCACTTCACTAAAAACACCTTGTCCAACAGTTTAAGTCTCATCTACACTGCCTACCCAACTTCCCATCCTTCACCCCCACCACCAATCCCAACTCAGCCCAACCCAACCCCTTCCCGCACCTCACACTTGGGCCCATCCAACACTATCAATCTCATTCCTCGCCTTGCGCAGCAGCTCCAGCCTCTTCCATGCAGCCTGCCTCCGAGCCATCACGTCTGGATCCTCGTCTAGCAGCTTCGCCAGGGCCTTCCCGTCCTCTCTGCCCACCATTGCATAGAACCGATCCAGCAGCCGCCGCTTGGCTTCCCGGACCTGCAAAACAGTGACAAAAACGGCAGAAAATAAAACGTATAAGGTCAATTAGCGCCCTTCTGTCCTCCCTGCCCAAAGGGGAGATAATCCGGATTCGACAGTGTGACAATCTTATCGGAGAGTGGGCATACCTACTTGGCAGTGGGCAATCTTACCTGGCATTGCATAATCCCACCTGGCAGCGCAAGTTTTTATCTGGCACTCCACAATTCCACCTGAATACGAGCAACGCTACCAGGCAGAGAACAATTCAGCCTGGCAATACCCAATCCTACCTGATAAAGCAGTCCTACCTCGCAGCACCTAATACCACCTGGCAGCGGGCAGTCCTACCTGGCAGCGGGCAGTCCTACCTGGCAGCGGGCAGTCCTACCTGGCAGCGGGCAGTCCTACCTGGCAGCGGGCAGTCCTACCTGGCAGCGGGCAGTCCTACCTGGCTGTGCACCACGGCTTTGGGGATGGAGTTCTGCAAGCACTCCATGACCATGCCCACATAGGTTGACACGTTGGAGCCTGCAAACAGAGGGGGGCAGCGAGGGTTGACAGGGGATGTGGAGAAAGGAAAAAGGATGCTTGAGGAGGGGGAAGGGCGTCCTGCAAGCACTCCATGTCCATGCCCACATAAGTTGACACGTTGGAACCTGGCGAGGGGGCAGTGAGGGTTGATGTGGATGTGGAGAGAAGGGATAGGGATGCTTGAAGGAAAGAGTGGAAAGGAGGTGACTTCCTGGAGTTCTGCAAGCACTCCATGACCATGCCCACGTAGGTTGACACGTTGGAGCCTGGAGGAGGGGACAGCAAGAATTGACAGAAAAAGGAGGGAGAACAAACGGGACTTCTGAGTTGACACAAAGAGCAGGTGGCAAAAAATGTATGCTCTGCAAGCACTCAATGACCATGCCCTAGCAAAAAAAAACCTTTCATGATATAATATGCGGGATAAGGGGCGACTTTTGAGGTGCCTCAAAAGTGCGTTCTTCTGAGACTCAAAGAGACTCACCGATTCTCCTGAAGTGCATTTCCTGGTATCGATCCGCCCCGGTAGGCAGCTTATCCCCACTGCCCTTCAGCGCCTTGATCTTGCTACTCCCGCCACTCCCACCCCCCTTCTTCCCATCCTTCCCCTGCTTCACCTCCATCCCGTCCTCCAAATTCTCCAGCCCGGGCAGCCGCCGAAAAAACTCCACGGTCAGATAACTCGTCTCCATCTCCACCAATCGCACGGTCAGCTTCCGGCTATTCTCCCGAAAACTTTCCAGCGACTGGGTGGCAGCAGCAGAGAGCTCAGCCTGGAGCGACGGGAACCGGAGCAGCTCGGTGGTTTCCCCCACGGAGATGCGAACGAGGTCCCGGAGAATGAAGTGCACCTCGTCCACCACTGCTTCTGCCGGCCCCTTGAACATGAGCAGCGCGCTCTCTATCAGCCGCCGGTAACCGCCCTCTGGGGCGATCAGATGCGGCTGGTACCCGTCCGCCTCCGCCACAATCCGCCTCACATCTGCCGGTTGTTGGGGTGAGGGGGGGCGAGGGAACGGGATGGGTGGGAAAGGGGTTGAAAAGGGAATCGCAGCAGCATAGTAGTTCCCTCCCCCCCCAACGGAGATTCGAACGAGGTCCCTGAGAATGAAGGAGGGAGGGGAGGAGAGGAGGTTGGGGAGAAGGAGGGACGGGTGAGTGAAATGCGTGGAGATGCGAACGAGGTCCCGGAGAATGAAGTGCACCTCGTCCACCACTGCTTCTGCCGGCCCCTTGAACATGAGCAGCGCGCTCTCTATCAGCCGCCGGTAACCGCCCTCTGGGGCGATCAGATGCGGCTGGTACCCGTCTGCCTCCGCCACAATCCGCCTCACATCTGTTAATTGTTGGGTATTGGGGCGTGAGGAAAGGGGGTGAGAGGAGTGGGGAGGGGTTAGTGAAGCTGCACTGTAACCGCCCTGGGGGGAGGGAGATCAGATGCGGCTGGTACCCATCTGCCTCCGCCACAATCCGCCTCACATCTGCCAGTTTTGGGTATTGGGTTGGAGGAAAGGGGTTGGGAGGGGGGCGTGAGGGGGTTAGTGAAGTTGCAGTGTAACTTGAATCCGGCTGTCTGACTGGGATTTCATATTGAATGAATTTGAATTGTGTGCACCTGCTTTTGAGTCGACTCAAAAGCTGAAGTTGCAGGGTAACTTGAATCCAGCTGCCTGACTGGAATTTTATGTTGAATGATTTTGCCTTGTGCGCACGTGCGCGGTGGTTCACACAGCGTTCTGGATGCATAGGTGCATGTGCATGGAGTGTTGTGCACTAGTGTGTGTGTGTGTGTGTGTGTGTGTGTGTGTGTGAGTGTGTGTGTGTGTGTGTGTGTGTGTGTGTGTGTGTGTGTGACTCAATCAGCAAGGCACGCAGGTGCTTGTCGAAGGGAAGCTGGTATAGTGCAGCTCTCGAACATGCATTGTGCGTGCACGTGTGCGCATACATGAGTGAGTGCGTGTGTGTGTGACTCGGACAGGAGGTCACGTACTCTGGATGGAGAGGTGCTTGTCGAAGGGGAGCTTGTTGAGTGCCGCTGGCAGCTTCGTCTCAAACACCGCGTTGATTCGATCTCCTCCCGGCCGACTGGTGAACAGAGAGAATCAACAGAGAGAAGTAGGGGAAGAGAGAAGCGAGGAGCCAGCACAAAGGGAGGTATGAGGAGAAACCGGGAACTAATCACCCATCTTGCACAATAGATTACCTTGTCAGACCATTCGTTACCATGCCTCCAGGTGCTCCGTGAATTCCTTGTCAAGCACCATACCATGCTGAGCTCCCGATATTTTGAGGCGCCTCAAAAGTTGTCTCCGTGAATTCCTTGTCAAGCACCATACCATGCTGAGCTCCAGATATTTTCAGTGATTCTCCCGATACTTGAAAGGTGCTTGGCACATCACTACCAACTCCCACTCACCACACAACCACTACAGCCCACAGCCCTTACCCGCCGTCCAGGTGCTCCTTGAATATCTTGTCAAACGCTCGACACATCTCCAGCACCGTGTATAGCTGGGCCTGAGGGAGGATGAAAAGAGGAGAAGAGAAGGGGGGATGAGTGGGTTGAGAAGTGGGTGTCACTCACCCCGGCTTCACCCCCAGTGGGCCGGCACAGCGCTATCGTTCCCTTCTCAGGGTTGTCAAATGTCGTTGTTGATGCAAAGGGCCACACGCACATACCCATGACTGCAGACACACATATCCCCCCCCCAGGGACCAGACACGCCACTCATTCCACCAAGCTACTCATTCCAGAAGCCACTCACCCCCGCTTCGCCCCCAATGGGCCGGCTCAGCGCGTTCATCTCCTTCTCAAGGTCGTCAATGTTGTTGTTGATGAGCGACTGGATGCATGCACCTACCCACCTACCCACCTACCCACGCCACGACTGCAGACACACGTACTCCTGACTGCACCTCGTGCCACTCACCCCCGCTTCGCCACCGATGGGCCGGCCCAGTGCGTTCATCTCCTTCTCAAGGTCGTCAATGTTGTTGTTGATGAGACGGACCAGATGTACCTACCTACCCACGCTGCAGAGCCCGTACCCATGACTGAAGCTCTGGTGGTACTCACCCCCGCTTCGCCTCCAATGGGCCGGCCCAGTGCGTTCATCTCCTTCTCGAGGTCGTCAATGTTGTTGTTGATGAGACGGACCGGATGTACCTAAATACCCGCGCCACGAGTCCACGCCTGCAGACACACATACCCGTGACTGCACCTCTGGTGGTACTCACCCCCGCTTCACCCCCAATGGGCCGCCCCAGGGCGTTCATCTCCTTCTCAAGGTCGTCAATGTTGTTGTTGATGAGCGACTGGATGCCCGGAATCTTGGAGCGAATCACTTGCTCTAGATGCTGCCAGCACAGCAGCATGGGGAGAGGATACGCAGGGGAGAACACGTGAGGGAGGGCATATGAGGGAGAGCATGTGAGAGAGTGGAACCCATGAGGATCTGAGACTGTGTTGATGAGCGACTGGATGCCCGGGATCTTGGAGCGAATGACTTGCTCCAGATGCTGCAGGCAGGGCACAGCAGCACAGGGGACACGACACGACACGCGGGGGGGAACACGTGAGGCAGCGCCTGTGAGGGAGACACAGTGGAGTCCATCCAAGTCTGAGTATGCGTTGATGAGCAATGAATGCCCGGGATCTTGGGGTTGGGGCGAATGACTTGCTCCAGATGTTGCCAGCACAGCAGCATGGCACGGCATAGGGACATGACACGTGAGGGAGCACATCTTGGTCAGTCAGGTACTCAGTGATTCAGTGCCTGAAGGTGAAGGGAGCACATGCTGTGGCAAGAGAGTTTTGCAGCGTCTGAAGGTGATTTTTTTTGCCATACCTTGAGCGCGGGTGAAGGCCGTACCTTTGACAGCATCTTGGCGAGGTACTCAGTGCCCATGCGGTTGGCCAGGTGGGAATAATCCGCGGACGTCTGGAAGTACTCCCTCTCCTTGCGCCGAGACGCCAGCATGTCCACGTTGCGGTTGATGCTGCTGCCATGGTTTCATGTTTTCAGCAGGTGAAGTGGGAGGCCGTACCTTGGAGAGCATCTTGGCGAGGTACTCGGTCCCCATGCGGTTGGCGAGATGCGAGTAGTCAGCAGAAGTCTGGAAGTATTCCCTCTCCTTGCGCCGGGATGCCAGCATGTCTACGTTGCGGTTGATGTCGGCCTGAGAGCGGTTCACCACGCCCACCCACGGGTACTTGAGCTTGTACGAACGCCCCTCTAGCACCTGGTGGTGTGTGGGAAGGGAAGGGGGTGCAGCAAGGAGGGGTGTGCAGGGAGGACAACCGAGTTGATGACTGCCTGGGAGCAGTTCACCAGGCCCACCCACGGGTACTTGAGCTTGTATGAGCGCCCCTCTAGCACCTGGTAAGGAGGAAGGGAGTGGGGTGCAGCAAGGAGGGCGTTGGAGCAAGGAGGGCGGTGAAGGGAGGACAGCTGAGTTGATATCGGCCTGAGAGCGGCATGTGAGGGGTTGCAGCAAGGTGGGGGGTGCGGAAAGGAGGGCGGTGCAGGGAGGACAGCCGGGTTGATGTCGGCCTGAGAGCGGTTCACCACGCCCACCCACGGGTACTTGAGCTTGTACGAGCGCCCCTCTAGCACCTGGTGGTGTGTGGAGGGGAGAAGGACGGGAAGAGAACAGACGGTTCAAGGCGGGCAAAACCACATGCACTTTTTGAGGCGCATAAAAAACAGCATCGAAGCTGGGCAAAAGGACATTGCGGCAAGGGAAAAGGCAGAAAAAGCAGACGTACGTCAAGCGCGTTGGTGCCCTTGTCCATGAGGTCGAGCTTCGTGAGCACACCCCATGTCCTCTCGCCTGCACGCACCGGGATTGGGACCCAACAACGCGGAGCAGCATAGGGAACACAAGCAGAATAAAGGGTTGAGAGGGAGGGTGTAAGTAAAGTCAAGCGCGTCGGTGCCCTTGTCCATCAGATCCAGCTTCGTGAGCACGCCCCATGTCCTCTCGCCTGCATGCCAACCATGGGGGCCGGGAAGGGGACCAACATGGGAGCAATCATGGTTGGGTGAATGAGGAAGGGAGTACATCAAGCGCGTTCGTGCCCTTGTCCATCGGGTCGAGCTTCGTGAGCACGCCCCATGTCCTCTCGCCTGCACGCACCGGGATTGGGACCCAACAACGCGGAGCAGCATAGGGAGCACAGAGCGAAAGACAGAGTTGAGAGGGAGGGTGGGTGTGAGTCAAGCGCGTTGGTGCCCTTGTCCATGAGGTCAAGCTTTGTGAGCACAACCCATGTCCTCTCGCCTGCATGCCAAGCACAGGGACCGGGAATCAAGACGGGGACAAACACGGTGGGGCTAAGAGGGAGGGTTGGTTGTTCTAAGGAGCCGCACATACTAAACTTAGGGGGACACGTACAGTAAGGAGCTCATGGCTTATCGCCCTTAGAATGATGCACTCTCACAACTACTCACCCTCAGGTTCGACCTCTCTGGCCATGCGCATGGCATCGGAGGTGGCAATGTCTTTATCATTTCCAGGGCTATTTACCCTGGGGGCTACTTGCCTAACTAACTACTCATTTACAGGATTACTTACCCTCAGGGTCGACCTCTCTGGCCATGCGCATGGCATCGGAGGTGGCAATGTCTTGATTGGCGGGGGACACTGCCAGGATGATGCAGTTGGGCTGCAGGGGAGGGAGGGGAGGGTTGGGTTGAAGGCGGGAGGTGGGGAATGGTGGAGATACTATGAAGGTTTGTAGGTCAAACACACAATGCAAATGCCTTCATTGATGATCAACGCAGCCAGAATGACGCAAGCAGACGCTCCACCCCGCACTCCCCACTCTCCATCCTCCTCCTGCCTCGATCCCTCGTTCCTCACCCCCAATAAACACCACCATTTCAACATTCTGCCATACCATGACATTCAACATTTGGACATTGCTGAAGCTGCACCCAATACCCCCACACGACCCCCCCAAGTCTCATATCCCTCATGCGTTCTCCCCGATCCCCACAACGTCCCCACACTCGTCTTCCCCACACTCATCTACCCCACTTTCACCCTCCCCACACTCACCTTCTCCACGTACTGCCGAACCATCTCCTCAATGTCCCTCACAATGGTCTCCGATTGGCCCTCTGCGGTCATTCACACCACCAACGCCACCACCACAATCACACAGGTCCCCACCAACACAGAGACAGACAGACACACACAGGTGAGGCATTGATCAGACTCCAGACAGGTCACAACAGGCACACAACACACTGGAAAACAGCGCCACCTCTCACGCTTACTCCAATGCTCTGCGACATCTCAAAACTCAATGTGCTTCCCAGCGCAATAGTCCGAGTGAAATAACAAACCACGGAAGGGGCGGGTGGCGAAGGGACTACAGATAGTTACAAACCTGCATTTTCCTGCCACCCGGTGTATCCCAGCCAGCCATGTGCAACTGCTTGGCAACTCACCCACAGCAATCTTTGTGAGTCCGGGCAGATCCACCAGAGTCAGGTTCACCACTGCAGGGACACAACAACGGGCAGGAGCTCGGTCAGCGTTGAAAAAAAAGGAGACCTATGGAAAACCATGGGCTTGGCACCAATAGATACACACTACATGGAAGCACACAGGTAAAAGGATAGATGCTGAGGTGGCTGCATACCATTGGGTGAGTAGATGCTGAGGTGGATGGGGACAGGCGAGATCATCTTGGTCTTCCCAGTGATTCGATCCGTTTCATCAGCAACCTCCTTTCTCACAGCAGCTGCGGAGAAACGTGAGCAGAAATCGGAAAAAGAGGCATAACGTTAAGTATGAGAGACGAGATGGGCCAAGAACATTGATATGGTTGCATGACAAAAAACCGCCAGTCCTACAATTGGCAGAATCGGGGCTGTAATGATTGATTCCCGCCACGGCCTCGCTCATTCACCCCACCAGTCGGTGTGACTTCCCTGCCTGGTGCAAAAACTATGCATACTCGGCTTCCCATCACACGTTTTCACTCACTCACCCCAGTCAGTGTACTTCTTGCCCGGGTGGTGCAGGAACTCCGCGTATTCGGCTGCTGAGTCCACCTTGTGCAGCTGCAGCACCAGTGGCCGCCGGGTAACGATGCCTGAATCCACCCGCACAGCACAGCACCGCAGAGCCCCACATAGCAGAGCACAGCACCACACACAGCACAGCACAACTCATCACCGGACATCATACACCATCACCACATACAACGACACAGCACACACACACCAACCCAGCGGACGGTCATGATTAGGGCTAGCAAGAGCAAGTGAGCCATCAACATGGGAGCTCGCGACGACAGAGACCAACACATATGAATACTCTCTGAAAGATAAGTTATTGCGGAACATGACTGAAACCTTTCTGAAACATCCGGACGGAAGAAACAAACCGCTGGCTGCAGATATACCTGATCCTCGAGGAAGGAAATCCTTCCCCACAATGCTCTCTAGCACCGACGATTTGCCCGAACTCTGCCACGTGATGGGAACGGGATGGAAAAGCCAAACGGAGGCATAATAAGGTTGCTTTGAGTCACGCAAAACTCGGCACCGCTATGCATCAGACTCAGCATCAGACTTAGCAAACCGTTACACAGGCTTCAGGTTGACAGACGCCGAGATGGGACGAGTCATTTTAAGAAATGCGCCAGAATATGTTCGCGAAAGAAGCATATTCATTCTAATATAATTGTGAACCAAGACACTCTACGCTTGGTGCAGCGCTACTACCGGACGGTCATACATATGATTCCAAACCCCAAGCGTTATGTATTTGATGCGAATTTATCAGTTTCGCGTGACCTCATTTCGAAAATCTATCCGACGCGCGTGACTACTATTCGCCTCACCTGACCTCCCACCACAGCCACCGACGGAAGCTGCTCCCATAGCGTCGGAAGCGCGTCTTCGGCGCTCGACACGCCATAGTCTCCTAACACCGTGCACGCCTGCTGAAGCCGATTCACGAGACCTATCAGATTATCCATGTGTCCTTATTTCCGACAACCACGTAATTAGAAAAAGAATAACGCTGTAAGTCCGAGTCGTGGTTCCTGAAATTTGCCGATGCTAAATAGGTATCGACTCAGAAACGAGACGCTGACTATTTTGTCGGAACAAGAGGGGTTGAAAGCGGAAAATGGAAGAAAATAGCGTCGAATCCGCTCATGGGAAACTACACGGAGGACCGACAAGCCCACGAGAAGCTGCGCGCGTATGTCGATCTGCTGCCACGGTGATGGCGAGTGCCGTGTGTGATCTGTGTATGCGCTGCCTTCTTCAAATGAAAGTGCCCAGTCCAGTTTCTCTCCTCGGGATTTGGTTTCAGTCAGCTGATCCTTCTCCGTCCTCCTGCTCTTCCTGCCTGCCGAACAGGACCTTGGAGTTGGATGGAACTGGAACTTCCGGAAAAGCGCGGCTGATGAATCACAAATTCGTTGCGCCGCACCCCACCGAGAGAAAAACTGCTATCCCGCCGCTCTTTTCCGGCTGGGGGCTGGTGTGGTGGGGGGGAATCTCGGCGCCCCTGTCAGGCTGTTGGCGGGGAGGGATTGGTTCGTCGCAATGGCAGATTCTAGGAGGTTGCTCGATAGACCGATTCCGCCCGCAACAGTGGCAGCAGTGCTGTATCGCGTATGAGCCCGTTTCGGAGAGCAGAAATAGGCTTTATATAATAGTAAACATACGTAATTGTTCTCACCCTGTCGATATGCCAATCCATTTCAACATTCTGCTACGCATTTTTCCACCTTTTATCGGCGAGTGTCCTTCCGCGAGTGCGCTTCTTCCCCCCCCCTTTGCTCCTTGTGCTGTCCCTCCTGCCCAACACAGCAGCACATTGAACTGCGTACCGAAAGCCCAGATTCCCTCAAAACCCTGCCCAACCGTGCTACAATGTAAGCGTATCGCTTTGCCGCGCAAAGCATCTCACCAAACCACACTGGACGAAACTCTCATGAAACGCTCCCACGATCAAGTGCACAATATGTATCCTAGATTCCATCAGACGGGTTCAATCAAGGCATTTCGGCAGAACCGGTGGTAGTAGCTTGTGTCAGTGAAAGCTCCTCCTTGGAGTCTGGTTCTGCCAATCCAAGGCTCGTCTGGCTTCGCAATAGGAGTTAACGTACTGATGGTCTCGCTTTATCTGGACACGATGCTCCGCAATTTTTAGATTGCTCGGTTGCATCGTCCATTTGATATCTGGAGCTGACATTCGGGTCTTCATGCCTCCGATCCAGGCGAGGGCTCTCGGGTGAATCCAGTCCGTCTACTCCTCAAGCGCTGTCATTGCAATAGATTCGTTTAGACTCCATCGTCGCTCGCAGCCATGGACGATCTGATCTCGTTAGGCGAGACGCTTCAGCAGGCGTCGTCCGCGCTCGTCGGCGATGACCTTCCGGACCCCGACGATTCGCGCTCCAGCAGCGCCTCCTCCTCGCCCGTCATCCAGCTTGTCGTGCTCGGTGCTCCGGTCAGTTCCGTGCCTTTTCAGTCGATTCCGTGCCTTTTTGAGTCAGTTTCACACCTTCTTAGTCAGTCAGTCACGTGCCGTCTCAGAAAGTTATGTACCCCACCGTGAGCATGTAGTTTCCACTGTAGTCTTGTTTCGACAATTCCACTCTATGCGACTTTCGTCCTTACCATACCCTTTCCAAAAGCTTCGTTTGTGCCGTGACCTATACGTAAAAGCTTCGTCCGTACCTTTCCCCGCGAGCTTTTGTCGTACCATTTAATCGGAATCGTACTTGATTAGCGTGTGATACCAGCTCATGTCTAAGCGGCTCAAAATACAACGTTGTGGTAATGAATTCGTGTGTGATGTCAGCTCTACAGTGTTTTTCCTCCCTTTCTCCATTCACCCCTCTCGCCACCCCTCGCGCTGGAGATAAACGGTGTGACCTGAATCCCAATCTCCTCGCCACACTGTACCAATTCGATCGGTAATCGTGTCATTTTGTTCCCCCACACACTTGCATTGCATCCCTGCAGGGCGCCGGAAAATCTGCCGTTCTCAACACCCTCATTGGCCATGCCGTTCTTGTAAGTCACTATACACCGCAGTCGCTATAATTCCATTCAGTCGTGTCACATGTTCAATTCAATTGTTTTCAGCCTGGTGGTTGTGGCATCTCACGACACTGGATTATTTTTCTCGACGTGAAAATCATATCTTGCTGCCTGCGTGCCTGATTGCAGCCAACGGCTGAGGGCGGAGCCACACGTTTTCCTGTTCTGGTGGACCTTCAAAGGGACCCCAACCTGGGGGTAGGCAGCATCCGAGCGAGTCTCGGACCACGAGCCAACATGCGGAAACCCTGTGAGTGGAACGACCTTGGTTTTTTCTTCCTCTCCCACTTATCCTTTAATACAACTCCCCAGCTCTCTATCTGTGTGTGTGTCACCATTCGCACTGGCAGCATCGTCCGGCACAGGAAGACCACAGATCCTCGAGTAAATCATTAACCACCACCCATCTGACTCTGCCTTTTTCCCTCGTCCACCTGTGCCTCGCTCTTTTTGTGTGTGTGTGTGTTGTCTTTGTGTGTGTGCGTGCATGTGTGTGTCACCACCACCAGCGGAGGTGCGGCAGGCACTGCTGGCGGACATGGGGCAGGCCAAGTCCAAGTCAAGGAGCCGCCAGGAGGCACACCTCATCCTCCGCTCGCCAATCGGTGAGTCATAGCTGACAGTTCCTTCTCTACAGTCCCTTCATGCGTGTATGGGGGAGGCTGTCACCGCCACCAGCGGAGGTGAGGCAGGCGCTGCTGGCGGACATGGGGCAGGCCAAGTCCAAGTCAAGGAGTCGCCAGGAGGCGCACCTCATCCTCCGCTCGCCAATCGGTCAGTCTCGACTCTCACCTGACAGTCCCTTGTTTTCACTCTCAGCCTGGTCGGGTCCTCCCCTCCCTGCTCTTTCTTCCCTTTGTTTGCGCCCATACATCTGTCTTCTCTCTTTCCTTTGGCGGGCGCCTTTTCTGATCTGGTGCCTCGAATAACCTACCTGCCTTGACTCCTTTGACATAAATGCTCCTTGTATTGAATCTGTCCTCTCTCTTTTCTTTGCTGAGTTGTTTCTTCTTCAAGCTATCCTCTCTCTGGACCATCTCTGAGTTGTTCAAGCTGCTCCCCTTTTCCCTCAAGGATGCTGCAGCCCACTTCACAATCTGCATCCGCAGTTGTGATTTCTCGACTGTCATGCCTGCCATTGCCCATAGTCGCTCCTCCTTACGTTTGTCTGCTCATATTTTTCTCTTTCCCTCTTTCCCCTTCCATGCAGCGCCTCCGATCCGCGTGACGGATCTTCCTGGAGTTGAGCGGTCGTCAGACCTCGATGGCACAGTAAGTGCCTTTGTGCACTTCGTTTTGTTTTCCGGGGGAAATAGAAAGATTTCTTCGGCACACCGCTGCTTGCAGCGCTGGGATTGGGAGCTTGTTCCCTCCTTTTCCCTTCTAATGACGTCATCACATGTGGTGACGTCATATCAAGGGGTGCCAACATGGATAGGGGCTGTTGCTGCTGCTGCAGCAGCAGTGGTTCCCTTGGATGGGCTGAATTCATTGGCAGCAGCACTGACTGATGGTGATCATCACGATCCAGTCAGTCGGTGCCCTTATGGCTGCTGATGCCAGACTCCCACCCACACTGCCGCAGTAGTTCCCTTGGTTAGGCTGAACTGAACACAGGGCCTTCCACTCCACGTCGTATTGCTTGGGAATCCGTGATGCTTCCTTCTCATACCCCGTCATGCTTCCTTCTCTTCTCCCCTCACCTCCGCTACCCGCGCATGGGCGTTTCTCCCACTTTGCCTCCCCAGCTGCAAGACAACGTGGCGAATCAGGACGCCATCATCCTCGTGGTCATCGCTGCGTTTGAGAATGCCAGAAATATTCATTCCTTCTTTCATGCTCTCTCGTTTCCTCTCATCTCCCGACTTGTGGGTTTGTCACATTGGCATGGCCCCCAGCTGCAAGACAACGTGGCGAATCAGGGCGCCATCATCCTCGTGGTCGTCACGTCAGTGCGTTTTAACAGTTCTCGAACCATGCTTCTTTCCATTCCATCATGCATCCCTCTCCCCTTCCCACTTGTCCCACACGGCCTCCAGCTGCAAGACAACGTGGCGAATCAGGGCGCCATCATCCTCGTGGTCATTGCTGCCACGCGCGTCAAGGACTCCCTCAAGCTGCTGCGCCTGGCGCATGACATCGACCGCGATGGTAGGACTATTTGAGCGTGATAAAAGAGTGTCTTTGAGCATGGAAGGTGTGATCCAGTACGGTGAAGCTACTGCTGATGCTGCTGCTCCTCATCAACATCCTCGTGGTCATTGCTGCCACGCGTGTCAAGTCAAGGACTCCCTCAAGCTGCTGCGCCTGGCACATGACATCGACCGAGATGGTAGGTCCGCTCTAGCATGGTCAGTTGCATGACTAGGGGGAGTCGAGGGCATGGTAAGTGTGATTTAGCGGGCTGCTGCTGCTGCTGCTGTTACTGTTGCTGCTGCTCCTCCCGCTCCTGCTCCTCGTGGTCATCGCTGCCACGCGTGTCAAGGACTCCCTCAAGCTGCTGCGCCTGGCGCATGACATCGACCGAGATGGTAGGTCTGTCTGTTCTACAGTATGGCCAGTACCATGATAAGTGTGTGTGTTCGCGAGCATGGTAAGAGTGTTCTAGCATGGTGCTGCTGCTTGGGGACACCACCACCTCTGCCGCACTGCCTCCGTTCCCTCACTCACTCGCCCATTTCTCCCTCCCCTCCTCGTGTGGTTTTCCCTGTTCCTTCCCTCCTGTGTCTGCCTGCTCCCTCCTGCCCCCTCCTCCCCCCCGCCACCCGCTCACCCCTCCCGGCCCCCAGGTGCGCGCAGCATAGGCGTGATAACGCAGTTTGAGCGTGTGGTATCAGACAAAGCAGCCGCCAAGCTCGCCCTGGAGCTACTCCAGGGGCAGGGCGCGGCCATGGCGCAGGACTACCCGTGGGTGCCC